GGGGGGGGGGAGCGTACGGTGCGTTGGTCTTCCCCTCCTGTGTGTCTTTGGTATGTGCAATTGGTTTGCCTTGCCTGAAGTCCATGTTGAATGTGTCCTTGCCGACGCGGCCGAACTGCAAGTACACCGTGTCCGCTGCACAACGCAATGCCCACCCACATGCGCAGGCAGCACACGAGTGGTGCCTGTCACAGTGTGTGCGTGTCTCTCTTACGGTCGTCGTTGGCGACAAGCTGGAAGTTCTTGACGGACGCCTGGGTCACGCGCTTGTTGAAATTCAATACGAACGCACCGATGTCTGTTCCCACACACCCAGATATCCACACACACACAGCGTCCACCCACACACACGGGGTGTGTGTGTGTGTGTGTCTGTCTGCCCAGAGGCGCATACGTTCGTTCCACTTGGGCTGTTTGTTCTGGAAGGTGAGCACGTGGGTCGTGTCGCCCACCTTCAGGTAACTCAACAACCCTTCCAGAAGACACGCACACACACACACACACACAGAGGCGAAAACGGTTTGGTTGCTTGTGTTCTATGTTTGTATCTTCTGTCTGTCTGTGTGTCATCAGTCACCTTCCTCCTCGTGGTTTGCGGGTCGGCAGACCCACCGCTCGTTGCTCGTGTGCACCTGCACACACACATGGGCATGTGGGCGCCAAAGATAGGCGCACACGCACGCCCCACAGACAAACAGAGTGTCAGTCAGTCAGTCGACTTTGTCAACGCAGTCAATGTGTTCCAATGGATGGATAGATGTCTCCCCCCTGACTGACTGACCATTGGGATGACGACCTGCATCTGCCGCGGCCCCCGCGGCCGACGACCCCACAAGTGGCTCGTCTGCACATACACAGTTGCATTCACACACACACACACATACACACACATGAAATCCCCCGCGATGCGATCCCTGCTTAGCGTTTCTATCCAGAGACCAACGCCTACATAAGTGATTCCCGCGACTTGTTCCTGCTGCTGTAGCTGTAGCTGCTGCTGGATGTTCTGGTCCGTCCCCCCACTCAGGACATTGCTGGCGGACACGCCACTCAGCGCTGTCCGGGCAGACGCTGACTGGGATGACGAAAAAGACGCACTCTGAACCAGTGAATCCACCCAACCAACAGTGGGAAACAAGACAGCTGGGCGTGCAAGTGTGCCAGCCATGTGGTGGGCTGGCTGTTTTGTTACTCTTGAGGAGGGCGAGCCATCGCCGTCGCCGAAGAGCGTGTACTCGGAGCCAATGAAATTAGCCCTGGAAGGTGGGGAGGGGAGGCAGGCAGGGAGAAGCCAAAGGGACGCCAGACAGACATACCCACCCATCATGAATGACATTGGAGGGAGGGCCACAAGCCTACCCACCTCAGTTTTCCCAGGAAGTTGGGTGAGTCCTTGGTTGGGTCCTCGTAGCCCATCCAGACCCAGTAATTGGACGTCTGAACCACACACACGCAAGGCAGACACTCATGGGAGGGAGGGAGGCGTGACCAGACCAGCTCATTGCGTGCCATCCATTCGACTCGACCTGCAGACCTTATTGTGTTTTCTTTTCTGCGAGCGCATCAGAAATATCCCCTTCTGAAGACAAAGAGACACAGCAACAACAACGACATGTGACTGAGTGTTCCTCCCCCGATACGTGCTTCGGACCTCAGTTTGTAGGGTGTACTTGGGGAACAGTTTGTTGAGCCCTCCCTTCTCCCGAACGATCTGGCACTCAACCATGCCGCCCTTGGCAGGCGGACTGAGTCAACGAATGAATGACACAGACGCAGGCGAAGCGAAGCGGACGTTATGTCTCCTTCTTTGTGTGTCGATCGATGGTGCTGGCTGTACTTGAGCAGCAGCGGCCGCAGGTCGGTGGCGGTTCTGACAGCCGTCTCGAAGGGGCAAGACGGCGCTCGCTCGATGGGAGTGGGGTCGAACCTGTAAGTAACACACACAGTCCATCCCTTAATGCCGTAAGTGTGTGTCTCCCCTCGTATGGCTGGCATCCCATCCACTGGCTTACACGTCCGTGATGCCGCTGTGTTTCATTTTCTCTGCCAGGCTGCGCCGCCTGGCCTCCATCACAGCCGCATCCTCAGACGCGTACGTCCTCGAGGGCCGACGTCCATTGTCTCTTTCGCCTTCTCCCTCTCCCTTGTCGTCAATCGAAAATTGACTGGCGGCGTGGGCGCGGGCATCGTCCCCCACGGCCACCTCCCCCTCCCCGCCCAGCTCTGACCGCTCGTCGTCATCGCACTCGTCCGAACCAGCACAGTGGGGGGCGTCGTGGGTAAGGACGGACTCAACGGCCTGAAGTGAACACCCGCCATGCAAAGCAAAGCGGGTGTGCATTGGCTCAAATCAAAGGAAGAGAGATCGGGAATTGGATTATGGTGGAGAGTGCGTCCACCGTACCTCAGTCGGTGGGGCTTCCTTGGCCATTGTCGGTGTTGCTGTTGATGTTGGGGTGGCTGCCTCAGCAGCGCTCGTGTCTGTATCGCATCCAAGAAAAGTCAAGACCCCACTCACCGCGCCGCTCTCTCTGTAGGTGTCTGTCTTGTCTTGTCTTGTCTGTCTCCCCTCACGTACGTTGTGCGACAGCAACCACAGCCGCCCTCGGCAGGGAGCCCGAATGCCGCCTACCGCCCCTGGACATGACTGACGGGCCGGCCGAGACCAAAGAGGGGGAGGTAGCTGTGTCAGATGCGCCGGCAGATGGCGTCGAAGCAGAAGGGGACGGTGCGGAGGCCGTGGTTGGCTGCACAAAACCCGACGGCGCGTGTGAGTGGGCGGCCTGCCGCCTCTTCATGGCCTCCCTCTGATGGCGGAGCTTCTCCTTCCTGAACGAAACAAACAAGGCCGCACACACAGAGCACTCACTGGTGGCGTGTTGGCTTCAGTGCATGCAATGCCATGTCCCTCTGTCATCTTCGTACAGGTTTGTCGCCGTCGATGGCCTCTCCAGTCCGCCGCCGCTCGCGACCCCTGCCCCGGCTGGCATGCTGTCATACGTCTCCACCGGACCGGCCACTCTTTCCCTGTGTGGCTCCCCCGCCGTGGCAGACACGGCCCCATTCCCCAAAGCCGCTGCCCCTGGTGCAGCAGCGTGGCTTGCGCGAGGCCCGTCGGGCGTAGAAAAAGATCCAACCGCATGGGTGCCGTTTGTGGTTGGGTGAGGGGCAGCGGTGGCAGACGTGTTCTTGCCGTCGTCAAGGAAAGCATCACGCGAGAGAAACATCGTTGTTTCCGCTTGGGTGAGGGCGAGACGCGCGCGAGCTCGCCCCCCTCAGGCCCTCAGGGTGCTCTCTGAAACCGCTGCTGCTGCGCACATGGTTGAAGAAGTGTGTGTTGCTGATTCGCAGCGGCGGTTCGCAAGAAAGTTTCGCGCTAATGGGCTCCAACTGGTCGTGTTGCGCCTTTGCTGAGGGTCCTGGTGATGCCAAATGCTTGGGTGCCGGACCAGGTGACCCTTTGAGTGTTATCGATGAGTTTCCTGTTGTCCCGCGGCCCTCCCCTGCGCTGCGAGTCCCCCTGGCGCTGCCGCTGCCAGCAGAGCTCCTCAGGGATGACATTCTGCCACGACTCAATGTGGTAAGAGGCGGTGAGCTCGACCTGCACCATCAAATGAATGTCGCCTTGCATTCATTGCCCTCTCTATCTCTCATGGTGATGCAGGTCGATTTGGCGGTCCTCCGAGCAGTTTGTCACGCCACGTGCTGGCAATTGGTCACCGTCGAGCTCGACAGACGCATCGCCCACTTGCACACAACCATCGGGCACACCGTGACGTTCTCTCTCGTCCATGACGTCAGCAGAATCATCGTGCTCAAGTCGCTACTGCCGGACGGGGCTCTCACGCAGCTCATCACGCAGTTCCTGCTGCTGCTCGAGGGGACCGGCAGAGTGGCAGCCCTGCCGCTGGCCTTCACAGACACCGACGTCATGAGATACGGCGCGTGCAGCGGCCTTCAATGTACCATGGACCTAGAGAGTGCCCAGCAGCTGCTCCTGCGCGTCAAGGTCGATGGCCCTCTCTTATCACGAGTTCTTGGCGGCAACCACGCACCGGTCTTCAAGCGCGGGAGTGACATCCGGAGCAACCTCAGCGAGTACATCGGACAACAGTACCGGCGTGACCTGCCGGCGCTTCTGTTCTCCCGCCGTGGGCGCATTGTGATCGCCCGCCGGAAGGTGTTGGTGGATCTGGTCCAACTTGTCAAGCAGCACCTGGAGCCGGTGTTTGGTGAAGTGGTGGCCTTGTCAACGAGTGAAGTGCCGAAACCGTGGAAGGCCAGATGGAGGGGGGCATGGACATATGGTGAGGTTCCCTGGCCTGGCACGATGGATCGATCGACTGTGTCTGCTGCTGCTGCCTTTTTGCTTTGTAGGGCGGCGGGGGAACTACTGGATCATCATAGCCACGCACCTCGAGATTCTAGATGGTAGGCAGGGCAGGCAGTGCAGTGGGTGAGATGCACCATGTGGTGTGGTACACACAGAGGGAAAGCGTGACTTGACACCACACCACACCCACGGTATGTAAATCTCTCTCTGCATTTGTCTGTGTAGGTGTTCTGATCGTACAACTGATCAACGTGTTGAAGCCCGAAGGCTGGTCCGGCAGCGCGAGGCCGTCGACCGTGAGAAATATCAGCACCGCCGATCTGCTGGCCCCCTGCCACGAAGGGAGTGGCCTCCACAGCCGCCTGTCAACTACGCACATCGGGGGGCCGCCTGTGCCGGTGCTGATCAGCCGTATCTACCGGTTTGCTGAAGGCCTGACGGGTCGGTACGGCAGTGAAGGCAGTGACGGGAGGGAGGGGCTGGTGGTGCAGATGAAGATGTGGGCGCATGCCTCTTACGGCGAGCAGACTGAGGGGCAGTGAGTGCAGTGAGTGCAGTGACACGTTAGTTGACTAAGTCAGGGAGCTGTGGTGTGGTGTGGTGTGGTGTGGTGGAGTGTCTCTGTGTGTTCCCTGTGTGTGACGTTTGTTTGTGAGGACTGACGGTCGGTCAACGTATGTATCAATCGTTCGTTATGTGAAGTGCTGCTGTTCCCGTCCTCCCTCTGCATGCCACACACACATTGATTCATCCGAATGGTTGCGCTTCCAAACATTCGTCCACACATCAATCGGCCGATGACGGTCCGTCCGTCTGTCTGTCTGCCTGCCTGCCTGCCCTTTGGCCGATCACTGGTTGGCGGCGTCCGTCTGTGTCTGTGGCGGCAGCAGTGCGTCGATATTGAGCTTGAGTGGTGCATCGGGTGCCTCGAGGGCGCTGTCGGGCGGGAGGGCCGACGGGTGCCGTATCAACGTTATCAACTCGTGCTCCTGCACAGACAACTCAGACATACACGGGCGGATGGACGTGTGTGTGTGTGTGGCGTCTCGTACAATGAGCGCCCCGTCTTCGCCTAGGGCCTCCACCACCTTGCTCTTAAGTTCCTCGGGCGTCACAGTGCGGACGCCATCAGCCTGCAGGCAGAGACAGACACGCACAGCGACACGACGTAGCCAATCACAGCAAAGCCACAGTGCAATGCACCTGACTGACCTGCAGCTGTTGTAGGACGGGTTTGAGGCGGGCGAGGACGTTGTCGACGCCGGCGAGTGGGAACTGAGCCGGGTGCGTCTCCATGTACTGCATACACATACACACACACAGTGTAGTGAGACAAACACATGACAAACATCTGTGGGCCGTCCGTCACACACTCCTTCCTCACTTTGAGTGTATACTCGTCGGCTCGTATGAGATAGAAAGGCGTGGCTGAGACGAATATGGTGGCGCCCACGAAGAGGTCCTCGGGTTTGTAGAAGCTTGGACGGGGACCCGCTGGCGCCATCGGATTCTGAACCAACAAACAGTGCAGCCACAGCACAGAGAGAGTGAGACACAGATGAGATAGATGGCTGTCTGGTGAGTCTGACCTTCTTCCTCCCCAGCTCAGCAAACTTGCCCTCCGTCTGTCATATATGACACAGATGCAAGCAAGCAAAAGCTTAGAAAGTGTGCGTGGCCGTGTTTGATGTTTGTGTACGTGTCCGGAGTTTCTGCATCGAAGTTCCCAGACGCCCATGGCCTCGTCCGACAGCCGCATGCCGATGATGAACCGACGACGCTCGTCCTCCTTCTGGCCATTCACCACCCGACCCTGACACGCACGCGCGCAGAGAAGCAACATACATATGAGACACGCACGACACAAGGGAGGGGAAACATGAAACACGACGGATGGCGCGTGCCGGTATGCGAGGGCACTACTTACTTCGAATCTGAGCATCTTATCACTCATCGTCAGCAGTTTCTGCATGTCCACCTTCAGCGGTCGGGGCACCTGCGGGCATCAAAAGGCAACACAGTAGTGGAGCGCAGGCAGCCGCCCCGTTTGATTTGCACACCAGGTGTTTGCAGGTGGCGAGTGAGTCTTCGTCAGAGCCCAGACCGATGTGGGGCGGGTCATCCAGCTTGGGCAGGTCCTGCATGTACACAGCGAGAGACCTCCCTCACCACCCCACCACCCCAAACAATGGCCGTACGCACCGCAACTTCCTTTGGAATATCGTCCCTGGGTTGGGTGATGTTAAGGTAGTCCTTGTAGAACTGCCGCGTGAAGTCGTCGCAGTCGTACAGGTGGAACCGGCGGTTGTACACGCTGATCTCGCCCCCAACCATCATGTCGTGAGTCCTGTTAAAACACACGCATTCACTCACTTGTAAGTATGCAAGCCGTATGTGTCTGTCTCGTGAGTGAAGTCCTGCATTCATTGCAGGCTGGGTGGCTGGCCTGTATGGTTTGGGTGCATTCTCCATGAGCCCCGGGCAGGCCTTGACCTCGGGGTTCTTGGTCAGCTTCTGTCGCCGCAAAAAGACGGGGAAGGGGTCGCGCCCACTGTTGCGGGGGTGCTGCTCCAGGATCTCCACCGTGTCGTCTGCACACACACATCAGCCACATGTGAGCCAGACAAAGAGAGAGGCGGGCGGGCGCACCTGACAGAAAGTAGTGGAGGACGTAATAGACGCGAGCGCCATACCTGGCGAGGTCGTCCCAGTAGCAGTAGAACCGCAGCACACGCCGGTCGTTGTCCAGGAACTGCTGCAAGCGGAGGTTCTTACGGGCTCCGCCCAGCATCACCTCTGAAGACGCAGCAATCCAATGAGCCGCATGGCCCACGTAACCTCGAGAAAGCGGCCACACACATACCGGTGTATTCCTTTTGCTCGGCGACTTCCTTGGGAATGAGTTTCTTGGCGCCCAGGGTGGACCGCTTGATGACCGAGTTGTCGAAGAAGTTGTCGGTGCGTGTCTCGACAGGCGTGCCCAGCTCGAAGCCAGCCTGCTGGTAGAACCACTTGGTGAAGTCGTCACAATCCGCCACGCGGAACACCTTGCCGTACAGCTCCAGCTTCATCCCAAGCTGACACACACATACACACACACAACACAATCCCCCATGGCATATGTATCTCTGTGGTTCTCGCGGTCGCCTGACCTTGATGTCTCCGGGCAGAAGGTCTCCCGTGCCGTCGGGTTTGCGTGCGCGGTGTCGTTTGAGGAAGGGGCCCTGGGGAATGCCGCTGTTCTCCACCTTGGGCTCATTCATCTGGACCGTTCCGTCTTCAAGGTGGTAGTTGAGCACACAGTTGCGCACACGGAAGTTCTCGTCAGGGCGCTCAACCACAGGCTCCTGGTAGAAGCAGAAGAACCGCAGGACTTGGCGGTCATGCTTCAGCCAGGCGGGCTGGATGGTCGGCCTGAGGAGGGAGAGACAGAGAGAGAGACAGGAGACACTGATGCACATAGAGACACGTTCCCGTGCCACTTCGGTGCCTGTAAGTGTTTCTGAGGGCGTCCTTGGCAGCCCTGCGCTCGTCGTGTGTGATGACGGGCCGAGATGTGTCAATCCGCCACGCAGCCGTGCTGTTCATCGACTGCAGCACCTGCATATGACATAAGTGCATGACACACTGCAGAGGTCCCCATGCCGACTCTCTGCTTTTGGCCAACCAACCTCCTCGTCGAGTGCGATGTTCTCAGCCTTGATGTTGTCGGCCCGGCTGTCAGTGCAGTAGACGAGTGTCTGTGTCTTGGGGTGGTGGGTCTTGCGCGGGTCGCTGAAGGACGTGCCGGGCAGGAAGGGCAGGTGGGGAGGGTGCGTCGGCACCATGCTGGGAGGACGCTCAACTGCCTGCATCGACTCGAGACTCTTGCTTACAGAAGACTTCGTTTACTGCAGTGGCCGGCGGTCCAGACAGACTGTTGGGTAAGAGACTGGGTTCTCCGTGGGCCCCTGAGAACTGTTCTGTCCTCCCGTGTGCGTTTCCGACTCGGACTTGGAGACTGGGTGGGGGCCCTCAGGCGGCCCCCACGTCACCCGCTGTGGCACTGGCAAAAGTGTGCCACGCAGTGAGCTGAACTGGATCTGGATCCCCGCTCGCAGCCGCAAAACAAGCAGCGAATCCAGGTAACAAGCACCAAATCCAGGTACTAACCTGTTTGGCGGCAACAGTTACACAACAGTGTTACACAACAAGAACATTGATGAAGTGTTCTACGCACAGGAGAAAGAGGGTGTTCCTTGGGTGTTTCGAGGTGTGTTCGTGACGAGACGCTGAAACAGCTGCCTTGGACGTCAAACTTCTGAGACTGTCAAGTGATCTGGGTGTGTTTGTCTCAAAGAGCGTCTACGACTTTCCCTGATCTGCTTGGCTTGTTTCTCTGTTATACTTCTGGTAGTCCCGGCTCGGCATGTCCGGTGAGTATGACAACGATTTTGAGGACGACATCCCCGAGGACATCGCGGAGGTGTGGGACGACTCAGCCGACGAGGGGGACCTCGAGGGGGACATGTGGGAGATTTATGGTCGACCCGCACCCCCTACACACGGACGGCCGGTCTCCGCCCACCCAGGCCGTCACGATGTGCAGGTGAGCGGTGGTGAGCACGATGCAACATCAACGTCATTCTACATTGTTCTCATACAGCCTTCGGTTTATCCCCCTCCCTCGCAGCCCCCGCCCGTTCCTCCATCTGCCCCTCTCCCTTCCCCAACCGCGTACGCTGCCCCAGCCATGGGTCCCGCCCCGCCCCCCTACTCCCCGCAGGCCACATACTCACTCACAGCAGCAGACGAACAGCCATATCCAGCACAGCAACAACAGCCACTTTATCAGATGCCGCTTCACCCGCCGCCCCTCGCAACACAGCCATCTGAACCCTACCACCCAATGCCTGAGGCGCCCATGACCTTCCGTAAGGAGGCCACCCAGAGCTATGAGGACGTGGGGGCACGTCGGCGTGCTGGGGAGGTGGATCGTCACGACGAGGGCCGGGACAGAGATGGGGAGCCACAATATGATGTGCCGGCGAGGGGGAGGGGCGAGCAGGACATGGCGTCTCAGTTTGAGAGGGCTCAAGCCATGGCACAGCAGCAGGGGGTCATTCGTCCGAGAGAGACGCCGGCAGTCTCAGCTGCCGTCTCGCCTGTCGCTGCTCCTCAGCCGCCATCTGCAGCCCCTCCTCTGTCTCTGGTCGAGCTGCGTGATGTTCTTGTGCGTCGGTTCGGCACACTCGACAAGGCGTTTCTTCGCATGGATGAGAACTTTGATGACCGGTGAGTCAAAGAGGAAAGGGAATGAACCAGACAGAGATGATGCCATGCGTATGTCATGGCGCTCGTCTGCCCACAGGCTGACGCGGCTAGAGTTCTGCCGATCTCTCCAGCGATTGGACCTCGACAGAGACATCGACGATGCAGCGGCATCGAGCCTCTTCAGAGAGCTTGATGTCAAGCAGAACGGTGTTGTGACTTTCGATGAGTTACGACGGGGCATTAGCAGGGCCGTGAAGGCCGAGCCTCCCGCAGCACAGGCAGCTGCCGAAGCCCCGCCGGTGCGCGAGACACGGATAATGACACACTCACAAGGTAGGTGGGCCCACGCACACTCTCGCCCTTGCGCGTGAGACACAATCGTCTGTCTGTCTGTCTGTGTGACAACGCCAGGAGTGTCTTGGCTGCGGGGGTTGCGTCGTCGCATCCTGCAGCGGCATCCCACCATTGAGGCTGCCATGCAGCACCTGCAGACAAAAACGAGACTCCAACCAGTAAGTGATGCAGAAAGGTACATGGTGCATTCATCAACCACTCGCCGGCATCTTGTCACATGCGTGCAGTCTGCGCCGATTGACGGCACTCAGTGGTCGGGCTTGCTCCCACACCTCTACTTCCCAAGTCTCGATCAGGTGCCAGAGGCAGAATGGGACCGTGATGCATTGTGCTGGGCGGTCATAAGCCTGCTGAGTGAGATGAGGAGACGACAGGCTGTCCCGCGATGCTTTGAGCCGCTGCGGAGTGCTCTTGCGCAGCGGGGCAGTGAGGGCAGTGTCAGTGTGAACGAGGTGCGGTGGGCCCTGTGGGCCCACAGGGAGGCGGCTGGCGATAGGATTTCAGAAGGTAACGGATTCAGGCCGACATTCTCTTGACGTCGTGTGACGTCGTCTCTCGGATCAGGTAGCGCTGCCACTTCCCTTCGTCGCTTCAAGTATTCGCTAAGCACGTTGACCACGAGCGAGCCCTCCTCGGTACTTGAACGCACCGCTCAAGGTCAGGAATGCAGGCTGATCGCCGTGTCTATGCATTGCACACATTCCCTTGTCGACATCCACCCACCAGACTTTGGCTACGGTGTTGATGATCCCATGCCCATTGAGGGTCTCCAGCGACTCTCCATTGCCCTCTTCAAGCGAGGAGACGCGGACGTGGCCGACCTGATGGCGGCCCTGGATGACTCCCGCTCTGGACTTGTCACAGTCGACCAGCTTGTACAAGCGATGCGCAGGACGTCAGCAATCCTGCCGCAAGGTCTGGCGACACACAATCATAGACTAGAGACACTACGGGTGCGCCTTTCTTGCTGGCGTCGTCGCAGGCACTGCGTTGGAAGCTTTGAGAGAGGCCATTCTGGTGCGTTTCTTCTCCCTTGATGAGGCATTTCGAATGTTGTATGCTGGAACGGACGTACAGCCCCGCTCTCCCGTGTCGCCAGCCACCATCTCCCGCGCTCTGCAGCTGTGGGGCGTGCGGGTTGAAATGCTTCATATAGACACGCATGGGACCAGCCCTGCAGATGACCTGTTCGAGTCGCTCGCGGGCGGATCAGCGCCTCGCCAGACCCAAATAGCATCAGCAAAGGCAGCCTCTGTGCCAACCAACGGCCGAAGAGGTGACGATAGCGGCCGCAGAGCGTCTCGCTATACGTACGTGTACCGCCCGGCTGACGCTGGGTGGGCGGCGATCGGTGACTGGGGTGAGTTACACGACCTGCTAGACTTGCAGCTGAAGGGGGACAGTCACAGCAGAGTGCAGGCTGTCTTTCCTGATCCAAAGAGTGAAGGTACAACACGACAACAACATGGACCAAATAGGGCGAAGGCCATCGATGTTGGTTGGTTGATTTGTTGCTTCTGTCTGTAGAGTCGGCTGTGATTGTCTGTCTGCGGCGTCGGCTGCTTGACCGATTCGGCACGCTCCAAAAGGCCTTTGATTCGCTCGACACATCGCCAGCTACCGTCAGTTCGGCTGAAATTGATCGGTGGCTGAGGCGCTGCAACGTGTTCGCACGGACGACGGACAGCTGTTTCAGTACCGTGTTCAGAGCACTGGATGTTGAAGGCAAGGGAGAGCTGACGAGAGACCAAGCTCGACATCTCATCGCCTGCGCCCAGTGTAAGCAATCATTCAACAATCCTGTTCTGGTCTACTGTGTTGTGTTGATGCAGGGGCGTCCTCGTTCTCCTCGGAGACGTCGTTCGACCTCGAACGGAGGCCCTCAGTGGAGGAGAGAGCAGCGCTGGTCAACAAGCTGCGTGACCTTGTGCTGCAGCACTACGCCTCACTAAGGGATGCATTCGAGGCCGCTGAGCGTGCCCATGTGCGAACATCCACATACGGCGGCGCTCCCCCGAAGACAACTGGGACAAAGCTTGGCTTGGGCGACGTGGTCGATCGCTTGATGCTAATGGGTATCAGCATTGGTGACGCCATGACCCTGTTCTCTCTCATCGACAGCAAGAGGGACAACTGCATCACAGCCGACGAGCTGCAGACTGCCCTTAGGAAGAAACGGCCGGAGAGGGCGTCGTCACGAGAAAGGCTTCTGTCGGCTCCGACGCCTTTTGCTGCCGTCCTGCGCATCTTCAATCAGCGTGTGATGCTCCCTTTTGCGCAGTCACACCCTGACTGGGCCATCGCGATGAGAGTCGACTACGGCAAGCTCGTCACTCGTTTCGCGCTGTGTCTCGACGAGCACTACGGAAGCCGAGTGATGTCGGCCCTGGAGGACGCGCTGTCAACGGTCATGAGGGCAGAGGTCACCCCCACCACCCTCCTGAGCTCCAACCTCCTGGCACAGGCGTTTGCGATGTTAACCGTTGGGGTGGACGCGTCGTCGCTGTTCATGGACATGGAAGCCCTGGTTGACGTGGAAGGGGCCAGCGAGGCAGACCTTCGCAGTGTCGTGGCTCGACTTATCTTCATCCTCGTTGACGAAGAGCAGGACGGTGTGATTACTCTCGAGCAGGTCATGGACCTCTTACAGCAAGCCCCACTGGACACCGATGCTGTCAAGCCGCGGCAGGAAGCACTAGCCCCTCCCCCTCCCTCGGCCCCTCAGATAAGGGTGCAGCCACCGCAGGAGATGGCGGCACCACAGCCGCCGCAGCAATCCACATCGATGAGCGGCAGCCCCGACGACGTCCAATCACTGAGTGCCATTGAGTCTGACGAGGACTCAGAACGGAGAGAAGCCATGCAGGAGTTCAGAGGGCGCCTCATCGAGTGCTATGGCAGCGTCAAGAGTGCATTTGATCATCTTGATGAGAACGGCAGCCGGACGCTGGACAGAGAGGAGTTTCTGAGGCTGTGCAGGGAGATACGTGTGTCGTCGATCAGTGGCCAGAAGCTCTTCGGGTATCTCGATCGCGACGGCAGCAACACTATCGCACTCAGAGAGCTCCGAAAAGCACTGCACGACCTCGCCCCAGAAAGGGAAGTCCCGCCACATCCACAGCCGCAGCCACCGCCTATTTCTGAGCCGTCGCCTCCCGCGATCCAGCCACCCATACCCCCGACACCCGTTCCTCCTGCCCCATTACCAGACGTCGGCACCGATATCCTTCTCGGGGGTATTCTGGCTGGCTCTTCGGTGCTGTGGGTTGTGCGCATGAGACTCATCCTTCACGCAAGGCGCCACGGGGAGAGAGAGGAGGCGGCTATTCGGCGGTTCAGTCAAGAATGTGAAGAGGCAGAGAAGGAGAAAGCGACAGCACAGTGGAATGAAGCCGACCTCATGGACTTCTTACGCACGCGGACCCCGGCAATCCTCGAGGGCCCTATCGTCGCCCATCTGCTGACGAAGGTTGGTGCCGCGTCTCCCTTGGCGCTTCGCGACTGTCTGTTGGCTGCAAACAACACTGCAGTGTCGAAGCTGAGAGGGGAGATTGAGCTCGCCCAGCTCAGCTCTTCCCGCATGAGCCCTCGGGTCGGCGAGGAGAGCAGTGCTGAAGTGGTGCGTGAATGGCTTCGAGTGCATTTGGGACCATCTCGGGAGCTGACTCGAACCAGCTGGTTGAGCATGACCGAGTCATTGTTGAGCGATCCAACAAGGGACATGATGAGCGATTCTGCAAGCGACACGAAGTCGCTCATGCAAGTGGCTTCCGGCCTGTTCACCATGGCCCTGCTCGACCAATCCTCGGCGACACAGAGACACGGCCGCCCTGACACTGCCGGTATCGACGCTGCGGTTCGCGCGCTGAGCTGTGAGCTCCCTTTCCAGATACTCGAGGCGTCCATGAAAATGCGACGACTTCAGCTGCAGGTGCCTCTCGTGAGCTCGCCGTCAGCAGTGCTGTTCAAGAATATAAGCACTCTGGAGGAGGCCGTGCGGGCGAGCCCACTGTCTTCCACCTTCAGCAAGGAAGAGACGCAGAGCTTCTTCGACTACGCCCGCGACCTCGGTCAGCCATCGGTCACATGGCAAGGCTTCCAAGGCGCACTGGATCTGCCCCTTACCTATGCTGCTCTTCACGCACTCCTGACCAACCTGTCTCTCCCTTATTCCCTGAAACAGCTGCATGGCCTTCTCACGGCCTCGTTTCAGCCCCCCATGCCTGTCGACGCGATCCAATCTCACGTCCAGGCAATCATCGGACGGTCACCGGACGTGGCGGCCTTCCTGCCGGACCGTGAAGGCCCTGACGCCATTGCCTCGGCTGCATCAAAGCACCTGAAGGCCCTCGGCACCCACCTCCGTCAACCAGACATCCGCGATGGGTTTGGGTTGCTGGGCGTCATGTCCAGCCAAACAGTGCGGGGCGTGCGAGAACTGCTCCTCAGTGCGCAGCGAGATTTGTTGGAGCAGGACCAGATGACGTTGAGCCAGGCGATGGGCCAAACGGCTGCACGGAGAGGCATGGCGACACCCTCAGGAGATGCACTCATGACGTAAGCGCAGCGGCCCCATCTGCGTGTGTGCTGCTTATCTGACCTGAGGCGTTGTCGTCACTTCTGTAGGCGTGAGATTGCGTCTTTGTGGATGGAGCTTGGATTCGACTTCGAAGCCTTCGAGATCCGTGCCATGCAGCAGTGAGCAATGACAAGAAGGTAGCATTCAACACGCCCCCCCCCTCATCACGTGCTGCAGGTACCTGGATCCCAGCTGCTCTGGATGGATCTCCACACATCTGCTTGACGCCCTCGTGCCTGCTCCCTCATCCCTCCCCCCTGCACCTCCCCGGACCCCTTCCCCGCCCTTCCAAGTTGTCCCGCCGCCCCGCCAACCTGCCGACGCCGCTCATACACTCCCATCACCACACTTCGGCGAACAGCCAGACTGGCAGGTCCGGGGGCAGGCCGCCGTCATCTGGCTGTGTCGACAAATCAAGACGAGGGTGCCGTCGGTGGAAGGTGCCATCGCACCCTTCCAAATGCAGGTTCAGGCTGAAGTCTCGCCGGAGAGACACGCAGCTGCAGCTGCGACGCTCTCGAGCCGCATGATGGCAGCCGACCAGCTTCAGGAAGTTCTGAGGTCTTACTTCAGCATTTCGGTGGGAGTGGACCAGGAGGCGACGCGAAAGGTGCAGGATGCAGTGGCGTTCCTGCAGATCGGCGGTCGTGCGGCAGACGGCCGGTCGGAATACGATCGGTACATCGACCTGGCTGTGTTCGAGCAGTACCTCCGTGACGCTTATGAGGATGCGCTGCGGGCTCTGCGGCCTCTGGCACAGCACTTTGATGGCTGGTCTTTTGCAAGAACGCTCGAGGCCTGCGAGCAGCACGCCATAAGCCAGCCATCGTCCCCGCAGAGAATGCTCAGAGCCGATGGGCTGCATCGACTGTCGTCTCACCACAAGGCGGAGATCCATCTCAGTGATTGCTCGGAGATCGTGGCCTTCCTGTGTCGAACAACTGGTGGCTGTCGTGATCAAGTACCAGCTGAGAAGTTTGCCTTTACCCTGCGGCGTGTGGCGGCCCAGTTGCGGCTGGAGCAGCAGATGGACGCAGAGATACACAGGGTGGTCTTTCGACATTTTGATACCAACAATGACGGCGCCATCGACAGCAGTGAGCTGCGCCTCGCCTTGCTATCCCTCGGTGGGGGAGACACAGAAAGGCGGACTTAACTCATCCACACACGAGACGCTTGCTTGGGCCGTGTCCAGGTTGTGAGGTGCCTCAATGGGAAGTGGAGAGACTCATCGCAGCGGCCGATCGGGACGGCAACGGACGGCTCGACGCCGCTGAGATTCGGGCACTGATGACCCCATACGTGCAGCAGGCACTTAAACAGGACCAAGACTTCTACCAACAGGTACAGCACAGCTAAAGAGAAAAGAGAAGCGCGCCAATCGAATGCTCGTTCGTGTGTGTGTGTGTGTGTGTGTGTAACAGGCTCGGGAGGCGTTTGACGCAGCGGATCTGGACAAGAACGGTCGGCTGACGCGCGAGGAGCTGTCGACCGCTCTGAAGCGGTGCAACGTGTCCCTCACTGATGCGGAGACATCGGCGATATTCAACGCCGCCGACCGTGACAGAAATGCGACGGTTGACATAGACGAGTTCATGTCCCTCATTCAAGAGGAGGAAGCCAGAGACACCGAGGCGGTCCAAGATGTGGCTACCGCTGCCGCGCTCCTCAAATTTAGGTGGGCTCTGGCGCCACGCCACAGAGACAGACACGACAGAACGAATGTATAGATGGATCCTGATCGTCCCTTCATTCAGCCACTCTCGCCGGCTCCGTTTGGACGCATACGTCGGGGCGCTGGTCGGCCTGCCGCCTCATTTCCGCCGCCTTCCCGCCGTCCCCCGCCCCTCAGCGCTGCCACCCACGGCCGCCTCGGACAGCAGCGGTCTCCTCACGGCCCACCCCCTCATCCACACACACCTCTTTCCCAACCGCATTGTCCCTAAAGCGGAGAGACGCGGCTTGTGTCGTGGCAAGCCCAAGGAGAAGTCCAAGAGGCGGGATGTGGGGGTGTTTGTGGGGCTAGTGCTGGAGAGCATGAGGGGCGTACCGTCGCCCTTTCGAGACGTGGAAGGGCGGCCCGTGGCGGAGCCCATCGATGGGACGTGGCAGGTCTGCGGGAGACAGCTGCGGATCACCGTGTACAACGAGCACACCAGGCAATACCAGGTGGGGGGGCACGGCACGGCACGCCTGTCAATGCAATGCAATGCGTGGGGGCATGTATGTTAGTTATGTGTATGCGATGTGTGTTTGTGACAGAGTGGCAGTTGCGTGTTCGGAGCGAGCGTGTCTCCGCAGTCGCCCGACACTTGGTCATTCCGCAGCAGTGGCGCATCAGGCCGCACTGACGACAGCATGGCCATCCTCCACCTGCCATCCACCGGCGAGGACAGGAGGCTCATCGACTGCTGCTCGCTGCTCTTCGAAGCATCGCTGCGGGTCGTCAAGCACCTCCTGAAGCCCGCCATCCCGGCAGCTCCAGCACCTGACAGGCCAGCAGACCACAACGGCGGCTCCTCCCCGCTGCCCGTTCAGGTGGGCGAGTCTCATTCGCCCACACTAGCATTCACACACAATGATGCACCAGCTTCATTTATCACCAGATTGCCTGCGGTTGGGCGAAGCTGCCCCTGTCAAGCCTTCCGCTGTCTCGTGCAGGGGCAGGCAAGGCGCCCTCCAGCCCCCAGCAGCTGCAACAACAAAAGCACGAGATTTCTCTGCAGGGCGGCACAGTCGAGCACACAGTGGGGCTGGACGCGCAGAGCATTCCCCGTCTGCAGGGGTCGCAGCGGAGGGGCTTGAGCGTCTTGCTGCCTGTGGGGGCCGTGGGCGGGCAGGTCACGGCATCTGCAACCACGGGAAGCCCCCACGCACCCCTGCTGAAATCAACGTTAGGACAGACAAGGGAAGAGGGACGCAGTTGCTGCTGGTCACCACGGTGTCGTGTTGGTTGATGGTCGTATCGTGTAGGCTGACGGTGGATGCGGTGCCCGAGGCCCGGCTTGGGGCAGAGGCGATGGCCAGCCTGGCGGCGATCACACTCCCGCCCTTCGGAGTCATTCCACGGGTCGTCCTGCCACTTATGCACCAATTCCATCTCGCATGTATGTTCTGTACACGACAGCCAAGCCACATGTAATCGATCATGCATCCATCTCTCTGTGTCGCGGTCACGTCACGCAGGGTGCCACAGCGTTGCAGAGCACTCAGGTGCCGCGCCGCCCCCCAACCTAAACAGCACGCGGGCATCACTGGGGCTCACATCGTCCGTCAGTCCCACGGCAACCAGGAAGGCCAGACAGCAGCAGCAGCAGGCGGCTGTGCCGCAGGGCCCTCTGTTGCCCATGGGTGGGTTTGTGGCGCCCGTTGGTGGTCCTTCGGGGCTGAGGATGCTGCCGAGTGTGCTCGCCGACCCTGACGTTAGACAGGTGCTTGACAACAAGGAAAGGCATGCATGTGAAGCGTGGTGTGGCGCAACGGGCTGTGTGTATCTTATCTGCTTAGACGATTGTCGGCGCTTGGAAGCAGCGGCTCGCATCGCTGCCAAAGCCGCAGCAGAGGTCAGACAATGAGTCAACGTGTGTGCAGATGTGTGTGAAACCGACTGCGTATACCTGTTTGTCTCGCCGTGGTCTGCTGCAGCGATCCCGCGTCGCTCCGTGAACTGTTCGATGACGTGTGCGCCAAGATGTGGGTGCTCTTGTCCAGGCCAGACAACCTGACCGAGGGAACCCCAAGCCACTTTCAACCATCGGCATGCACCAACGCACGACACCGCCAAAGAGACGCGGCCATTCACACATTCACTCACAGACTCTCTCTTGTCTCCCTCTCCCCCCCATGGATGAGTGAGTGCAGGTGTCCGACTCGCCGTCACCGCAAAGGAGCTTGCGACGAGGCAGCCAGGGTCAAGTGACCATCGAGGCCTCATCAGCCATGGGTCTGGTGGCTGCGGGCAGCCCACAGGAGATCAAGGAGTGGGTTGGGCGGCATGCCCTGGGTGGTGCGTCCTTCCGGCCACTGGACGTGTGTGAGGTGCAGACACACGAGATGCAGGTGGCACTGCACCCCTAGCTGGCTGGCTGACCGCATTATATATGGGGTTGAGAGCTGAGTTCGGTGTGTTGTGTTGTGTTGTGTTGTGTTGTGTGAGGGTATATGATATGATGTGGGGGGGTGATCGAATGGATGAATGTGATTATCTGTCTTTTTTCACTGGACTAATTGAATTGATATGTATGTATGCGGCCCTCATTTTTTCCACGGACTCTGTCGTTGACTCATGCCCGCATCCATTGCATGTGTCTGTCTGCAGAGAGCCGTCGATCATCTTACACGCACACACAAAAGTCGTCACAAAAGGCGCTTAGCATCTGGCCTGAACGCCAACTAAGAAAATGCTAACTACCTGCCTAGGCCTGCCTTACGAGAAAAGAAGCCTTAGTACACCCTCCCACCCACCCAGAGCGCAGCCGCATCACCATGCATTACACCCACCCTCACCCTTTCTGGTCGACCCCCCAGCCCGCCCATCCCATTCATTCATTCATTCATTCTGCGTCATTCACTTGTCCTGCCCCATGTCATGTGCGATTTTCTCCATCTTGGTGGCGAGGTCGATGTCCTTCTGTGTGACGCCGCCCGCATCGTGCGTCGACAGTTCCACATCCACGCGGTTGTATACGTTGTACCAGTTGGGGTGGTGGTCGGCCTTCTCAGCGTGAAGCGCCACACGCGACATGAAGCCCCACGCCTGCACCGCACCGGCAGTCAGACATCACACGAGCAGAGAACCGACGCACACACATGTGATTCATGTCATGAATGCCGGATGAGTCTCAGATCTCTTGCAAATGGAAGTCCCGCTCGCTGTGCATGCTGCTGCGGTCGGCTCACCTCGTTGAAGTCTTTGAATGCGTACGATCGCTGCAGCCGCGTCGGCTCGCTCAGCACCTTCCATTTTGGAATGTGCTGCTGCAGCAAGGCAGGCAGCTTGGACGCATCAAGCTTCATTCCGCGGACGTCTGCGAGCTTAGCGAAAAAAGCTCGCAATGAAATTGTTCGCCTGGTCTCCCCCGTGATAAGCTCTCGAACAGGTGTTGCCAGCAGATCTCAACAAAGAAGAACCCATGGCGACTGTGGACCTGATTCGATGCAAGTGAGTTTATCATTCGCAGACAGAGGTGCATTCATTCACCCACATGAGCACCAAGCCTTTCCGTGTGTATGTGTGTGTCCACAGGATGTATGACCACCAGCCGCTGTCCATCGAGTCGCTCGCCTTCTCCGACGACGGGCTGTGGCTCGCCGTTGGGCGCGGTGCGGGGGAGTGGGGCGAACTCGCCATCTACGACACCACCACCAACCATCTCAGAATGGTAGGTGTCAAACAAAAATGGCCTGCAGACTTCAAAAGGAAGAGAGATCTGATCTGCATGCGTGTGGTGTGTGCAATAATCTGTCTGTCTGTCTATGGTTTGTCAGAGGTTGCCTGGAGGTTTTGACCGCTCCAACCGCACTATTCACTTCGTCATGAGAGCACTGCCCAAGGGGCAGAAGCAGAAGGACAGACAGCAGCAGAAAGATCCCCTCGCCAACTATCGGTTATTCACGACCGGTGAGTGGAGTGCCCGGCCCGGGTAGCTATGGACGCGCCCATGTCCACGTGCATGTGTGTGTGTGGTGCCAGGTATTGATGGTCTCGTTAACGAGTTCGACTTGCAGAGGGGCATGAAGAAGGTGTGCATGGCATGACATGGACGGCATGACAATACACATCTTAACCAACCTGACTGAGCTGCGCCACACTCTTCTGTTCGTATCTCATCTGTGTGTGTCAGATTGCCGTTGCGTCTGGTGGTGGTGCGGTGTGGTCGTCGGCCCTCTCGGCCGACCGGCAGTCGATTGTGGCGGCCTGCCACAACGGCAGCGTCCGGTTCTTTAACATACTGGACGAGTCGCCCTGGCTTGATGCCGACCAAAGCACCACCAGATCATTGACCAAACACTCCCGTGAGTATGCACACAAACAAAACACACACATGCAGCGAGTGGATGCAGTCCATGCATGGCTCGCCTGCTGTGTGTGTTGGTGTGGTGTCTGCAGATCATCTGTTCAGCATCTGTGTGTATTCCGACACGATGCTGTTTGCGGGGTCGGTGTGTGTGATCCTGCGGTGGACCAAGCATGGCGACCACTGGCGCAGCGACAGCAAGATGCTGCTCGAGAGGCGCAACCCCGACAAGGCAGCCACAGCAGCAGCAACGGCAGCAGGAGCAGGAGGGAGGCAACCAAGTGAGCACGGAGGATACTATGAAGAACGAACACACATCATAGTATGTATCCTCCGTGTGTGTCAATATATTGTGTTCTGCCTGCAGGGGGTGAGGCGCCCAACGTGTGGGCCCTGGAGGCGGTGAGGTCGCAGCGTCTGCTGGTCAGCGGGGACTCGGTGGGCAACGTGTCGCTCTGGGACACCACATCATGCACACTCCTGACGACATTCACTAACGTACCTAACGCAACACACACAGAGAGCACACGAATGACAGACAGAACAGGGGCCAGGCCACATGTTGCTGCCTGCCTTGATGCCCTCTGTCAGCGTCAGGGTGGTCACCAAGGGTTGGTGAATGCCCTGGCAGTGTCAGCTGACGAGAGCATCATCTACACGGCAGGCGTGGACCAGAGGATCGGCCTGCTGGCCTACCTCCCACAGCAGAAGAACCACGCCATCGCCCTGCCGTCCGCCGTGGACGAGACCCTGCCCTCACCGGTAGGTAGGTGTGTGTGCGGTGCGTGTCGATGGATGACCGATGCGCATGGCATGCACCGAATACCCGCACCTATGTATGTTGTTAATCCATCCATCAGGAGGATTGGAGGTCAGCTGGCGGTCTGTATCCCCACTCCCATGACGTCACCTGCCTGGCCGTCGCTAAACACGGTCGGTAGGTACCCAGGCAGCCTAGGCAGGCGGGGTCATCCCATCCCGGTGTCTGTCGTGTGCAAACATACGCACACACGAATGAATCGAATTGCTGTGCTGTGCTGTGCAGGTGCGTTGGCGAGTGGCAGCCACGATTGGCACGTTAACATCTACCCCAAGGCCAGAAGCCAACAGGTAGGTTGGTAGGTATGTGGCTCATAAGAGAGCTCCGTGCCGTGCCGTGCTGCGCACCGCACCTTTCGTTGTACGTACATGTGTCGTGTCGCTCGCCTGGCCTGGCTGTGTGTCTTGGTGTCCATCCATCCATCAGTCGCTGCAGAGGTTTGTGACCCTTGGCCACCTGCCGGAGCATGCCGCCAGACATGTACACGTAAGGATGGATGGATGCTGCACACGCACCCTCATGGTCTGTCTGCTTGATTTGATAACTCCTGCCTGCTGTGTGGTGCAGGTGGGAAGCGGTGAGGGCTTCACTTTGTTGCAGTACCGGCCCACGGTGGACATGTGGCACATCAGAGCTGACGCCGACCTCTCACAGGACGTAAGGAAGGCACACGCCCCACACACAGCTCCCCTCAACACAACCCCCTTGCACGCACTTGTTTGTCTGTGTCCGTCCGTGTGTTAGTCTCCGCCCGAGTTGACCTTCCTCTCCAAGACCAGGTTGCAGTCCAAGGGCACCATCGTGGCCTCAGCCATGGCGCACGACGCTACCATATTCGCCGCCAGCAACTCGTCAGGCACACGAGTCTTCAAATTCACAAGCGACGAGGTGAGTACCTGGATGGACGAGTAGGTAGGGGTGGCAGCGGCTGACCTGCCTGACCGACCCCACGGACCGCTCCCCAATCATTGGTGTGTGTTGTATGTGTCTGATCTATCTGCAGCTTGAGACTGAGTGTCTGGACATCCCATGTCTGGAGGAAAGGCTAGTTCACAGGTACGGTACGGTGCCTACCTGTTGGAGGACGGCACCCCTGGTTGCTTCATTCAATCAGGTCGCTGTGCTGTGCTGTGTGCAGTATGCTGTTTGTGAGTCCCAACGTGTTGGCTGCGGGTGTGCCTACGTCCCCCAGCACGTCGACAGACAAGCCCCGGCCGCCATGCGCTGTGGTACTCGTCGACATCAACACAGGAAGGTAGCCAAGCCACCTACCTAGCTACCTGCCTACCTTCGGCACACACGAGGCTGCCAGCAGGACCAACGACCAACACATGGTGTCTCTGGTCATGACCTGTGTCTGTCTGTTTGTCAGGGAGATCCACCGCTTCTCTGGCCATACCTCACGTAAGAGCCCACACAGCCGAGGTCAATCAAACTTGGCTGCACTCATTCTGTGATGGGATGGATGTTCTTGCTTGCAGCGGTGTGTCATCTGTCGGTGTCCCCCCGTGGCGACTTCCTGGCTGCCATGGAGACCCACGGCCGCATCACCCTCTACAACCTCGACACACAACAGCTCCACTGTGTGCTGCCGTCATTCGAGGCCCCCGCCGTCGCATGCGCAATCACATTCAACCCCAGAGGTCAGTCGATCGGTCAACGCAATAATTACTACATGAATACAGCCATCGATGAGTGGATGAATGGATGGATGGATGGATGTGTAATGGTGTGCAGGGTCTGCTGTGGCGGTAGCGTCGTCGGTTGGCACGTACTACCTGTACCACATAGAGCAGCAGCGGATGATCCACCCGCTGTCGTCGAGAATGATTAAGATGGGGATGGAGGTGCAGATTGTGCGGAGGCTGCGGAGGCTGCAGAGGGAGAGGAGGAGGGGCAGAGGGAGAAACAAGAGAAACAAGACCCAGAAGCACATGGACGACTTGGTGAAGAACGAGAGGAAACTGATGACCATGATACCGAGGGCAAGCCCGATCCTCAAGGTCAGTCGGTCAGTGAGTTCGTGGCCGTACGTACCATACCCAGCACTTGCATCTCTCTCCATATATACATATTCAGTTCCCCTCCGATCTGTCCTCATTCCGCCTGAGCAGCCCCACCGCCGTCCGCGGCCTCCTGTGGCTCTCACCCACCCGCAAGTACACATCCCAGCCCCCACCAGGCCTCTCATCCATCGGCCCCAAAGACGCACTCATCGCCCACACCTCAAGGGCAGTCCTGTCGGTCAACCTGCCCCTCGCCGTCAACATGTCGGCCTGGTTCGACCGCAAGCAGTGGAAGCGGGACTTCGACAAGAACGCCCAGGATGATTCAGACGATGAGGAGGCGATGAGCGATGAGAGTGACGAGAGCGAGAGTAATGAGATCGACTACGACGGGCAAGGGGATGCGCTGGAAGACAATGACAATGTCGACATGATGGAGAACGGTATGGATGGTGCGCCGGAGGACACTCCCGAGGCTGAGGAAGACACAGACACCGATGATGACGCAGCCGACGAGGCGGGAGCCGGCAGGGCCGACGACCTCACCGAGAGCCAGCGTCTGGCGGTCTCCGCCCTCACCCACAACGACCTCCCCCAAGGCCCATTCTTCGCACCCACCCTCGCCCCACCCACGCTGCTTGATACGCTACCTGCCGGCACCACACACGGCCCCTACGGTGGACGGCAGCCTCAACGAAGGTCCCGCCGTACCCCGCCCTACCGGGTGCTGTATGTCTCTCGCCACCGGCCCATCATTGCGGTCCGCGACGTGTCCAAGTGGCAGTCCTTTCGTGACGGCGGCAGTGGGTCGGGCAGCAGGAGGCGGCGTCGGCAGCAGAGCCTGCTGCAGTGGATGCGGCGGGCCATACGGGAGGCCAAGGGCGATGCTGCCATGATCACAGATGGGGAGGAGGGGCAGGACACGATAGACATCGAGCAAAGAGAGGAAGATCAACAGGGCGGCGATGTTGCCATGGCAACATCAGGCGGTGAGGGCGAGGGAGAGGGAGAGGGAGAGGGAGTGGAAGGAGAGGCGCAGCAAGCGCAAGGGCAAGAGAGAGAGGAGGGGCAAGGTGTGTGGTGCGGTCGGCTGCTGATAGTTGAGTGCGAGAGGGACCGTGAGGAGCTGCGTGAGAGGCAGCGGGCGGCCTTTGAGAGGAAACAGTACGGCACATGAATGATCGACACACGTGCAATTGACTGCACTGCGTGGGGATGGATGGATGGATGACAGACAGGCATGCGTGTGGGTGATGGTGATGGTGGTGTGGGTGTGACCTTTCATGCGGGACACGGCGATGAATGGATGACGATTCGTGTTCTGACCATACGTTTGTGTTCCACAGTGCACGCCTCGTTCGTCCACTCATGCACGTCACGGCAGACACACACACACACACACACGAAGAAGTCAGTCCCGGACACACTGGCTGAGACAGTCACTCGGCTTTGGCCACGACCAACCTCTTGTTGTCTTCGTCTCTGACACACACACACACACACACACAGAGAGAGAGAGAGAGAGAGAGGGAGATGCGCGCACTGCGTGTGTGTGTGTGTGTGTCTGTGTGCGGGTGTGCGTACACACATGAGGTAGCAGTTGGTCTGGTCGAGGTGTGTACGGAGGTGACGGGGGTTCTGGCTCAGGCGGCGAATGCCAATCTCGAACTCGACCGCTGTGTACGGCTGCTGCCGACCTTGACTGACCTGCACAGAGAGAAAATGAGTACACGCTCACATATACGTGGCACGTGTGTGTGCAGCACTTTGACGGTACCATCTGGAGCGCTTTGTCGTAGGTATGCCACTCCCAGTGTTGCAGCCTCTCGTCCACAGGCACCATGGTTTTCTCGAACTCGGCCAACCTGCAACACACACAGCGCGGAAGCAAGTGGCAGGTTCTGCGACACACAAGACACAGTCATTTGTGTGTGTGTGTGTGTGTGTGTGTGTACGTCTGTGTGTCTCTCCCACCCACCAGTCATTCTCAGCTTCATGGTGTCTGCACCAGGCACACGAGTGCGTCGGTGCAGCACGAGTGAGTGATGCATGAGTGAACCCGTCTATCTATCCCTCATCATCGGCTGTCTGTCTGTCTGTCTGTCTGTGTCTGTCCGTCTGTCCGTCTGCATCATGTGTGGTGCGTCTGTCAAAGCCGCCAATCCGCACACAATCCGAATCGGCAACTGGGCTCACTGATCTGCGACACGAATCGGCAGCTGGTGGCCTTCTCGCGCGTCGAATTGCCGCAGCGTCATGTGTGTGTAGTGAGACATCGTGCGTGTGTGGTAGTCTGTGGTAGTCTGTGGAGGAGGAGAAAGATGGGACCGTGTGGGTGTGGGTGTGGGTGTGACCTTTCATGAGGGACACGTTGATGAATGAAAGATGCAAATGCATATTGGAAGCGTCCTATGTCTCTTCTGTCTGCACCACCACACATGGCCCAAAGACCGCGACTGTCATCTACTTCCCCACCAACCCACCAACCCCCGCATCATGATCTGCCTGTCTACACCACTGCCGCCGTCTCACATACACTTCGGTGATTGATCCGAGGAGGGCTGGGCGGCCGGCATACTCTAGGATGACTGGCTGGCCTCGAGGGGCTGGATGCGCACCCTGTGGACTCCCGCGCGCATCTTGCGACCCACACCGCGACCTGGTGCGTGGACACATCTGTGTCTCTCTGTCTGGTGAGTGTATGTGTGTGGGTCCGTGTTCACTCACCCCTGAGTACGACAGCGGTGCGGGCAAGCAGACCGGGGTTGACGCGCTTCTGCAACTGCCAGGCCTCCAGTATCGAGTCGATTAATATCGCTGTGTGTCCACACACACACACACACACACACATACACACACACAGACGTCCAGGCAGACAGTGACGTGTGCGCGCGTCAATGCATCTTTGTATACCAACTAATTTGACGGTTTCTGCGTTGTCCACGGCGCTGAGTGCCTCGTCCTTGCCCGGCACATGGTCTACCACCAGCAGCAGGGTCTCGCGACGAACCAAACGGTCAACTGACAGCAGGTAGACAGGCAGATCGTGTCGTATGCAGGCATTGATTGTGTTACGTGCCTGCCGCCCTGCCGTCCGAGCCTACCGGCCGTCCTGACGAGATCCCGAGCGCTAGAGCTATCCTCATAGTTGACAGCGTCAAAGAAACCCAGCAAAGCTGTGGGGGACACAGAAACCCACGGCATCTCCTGCCGCCCACCCCCAACCCCCCTTTTCACCCTCACACCCATCCACCTGGTGATCCGATCTGCACAACGCTGCGCCACATGTCCTTCTCGCACGTCCAGCCGGCCGCGTCGATGGTGCGGGTCACGTCGACAGAGAACCCCAATATCTGCCGCACCTGCTCATCGCCCACCCCAGGACCCACCGAAAACAGCCACGACCCCGGTGTGTCCCCACTGCCACACCCCTGCACCGACTGCTGGTGCTGGTGAAGGGGGTCTTGCTGTTGGACGTCGGTGTTGTGTGTGTGTTTGTTGAGTTTGTTGATGATCCTGGTGGGCCTCGAGGGGTCCAGCTCTGTCTTGATCTCTACCAGGGGCATGGGCATGGTCGGACCGTCGTTGTCCGTGGGGGGCAGCTGGAGGGAGTTGGTCTTGGTGGCCGCTGGTGCAACGTTGTGGTCACTGCCGGAGGCGAGAGTAGGCGGCAGGGTGCTGGCGGTGCCTGCATACACACATGACGTACAAAGAAGTGAATGGATGCCTGTCTGCCTGCCTGCCTGCCTGCCTGCCTGCCTGCAGTCTGCCATCTCTCACCATCCGTCATGTGCTGGCTCTGCCGCTCTCCGCCCCGCCCCTCTGCCGCCGTCTTGGTTAACGTGTCCCTGCCACCCACAGCGCGGCCGCTTCGGTGGGAGGTGGGTCGGCATCTGCACCAAAGCCAACAACACAACCGGGATCTCCCGTCTGGTGGGCAGATCTGCCATCCCATCAGCAGACCATCATCTTCTCACCTGGCCACGCGGCGCTCCTCACCATCTCCTCGGCATCCCTGCCAGCTGGACGGATCCTCGTCTAAACGTCGCTTCACTCTGCTCCTACTGAGCTCACGGCCACTGACAGACATTTGGCCGCTCCAAAAGGACAAATGCACAGGAAGAGAAGCCTCGCCGCTTAGCTCGCAGGTGCAGGTGGAGGTCGACAGATCTATGCCTCTGAGCATCTTCCTCTGTATCCTGTGCCACTCCGTTGTGCTGGCCTTCCCGCGACTCATTCCCGTTGCCTGCCGCACCGGCAAGCTGATCAGCAAACTCAGGACGCTGCTCTGCAGCAGCAGCAGCAGCAGCACAGCGATACCCTCTCAAGGCCTGCAGATGAACACGGGCCAGGGTTCTTCGGAGCGGCTGGAGTCGCCCTTGGTGTGGATAGATCTCGAGATGACGGGCCTGGATACGGCGAAGGACATGATAATTGAGGCGGCTGTTGTGGTGACGGATGGGCAGCTCGAACGAGTCATCGAGGTGCACACTGTACATGGATGGCATGACTAACAACCAAGGAGCCGAGGAGGCTGATGTAATTAATGTGTGCGTCGCGTTGTGTGTGGGTTTGTTTGTTCGTTCGTTCGATGTCACAGGGGCCAGATCTGGTCATTTATGCCCCTGACTCGCTCCTGGACTCCATGGACGAGTGGTGCACCAAGCACCATGGCGAGTCAGGTGAATTGATTGGCGAAGCACAGCACAGCACAGCCAGGGAGTGCACCAACCACCATGCTGCTGCTGTTGCTGTTGCTGGAATGGATGGCACTCATGGCAGGTCTGACTGACAAAGTGCGCAGGTCGACCATGAGCCTTTCAGACGCCGAGGAGCAGATTCTTGCCTTCATCCGACAGCACGCCCAGGAGAGAGAGGCGCCGCTGGTGCGTGCGGTGGGCAGATGGGGAGGGAGGGCATCGGCGGCTGGCTGCTGAATGGTCTGTCTGGTCTCTCTGTGGCTTGCTGCTGTTGGTTTGTGTGTGTGCAGGCGGGCAACAGTGTGCATGTGGACAGAAGGTTCCTGGTGAAGGACATGCCCAAGCTGGAACGATACCTACACTACAGGTCACCTGGGGGGGTGAGGGAGGGACCGACAGACATACATACATACATACAGATGCACCAAGCGAGCCGGCCGGCTGGATGCTTACCTTGCAAGGCAGGGGTATGTCATGGCTCGTTCGGTTCGTCTGTTTCTTTGTTTGCGTCTTGCTTTGCTGCAGGATTGTCGACGTGAGCACGGTGAAGGAGCTCTGCAGGAGGTGGTACCCAGGTATGCAGGCAGGTACACACAGAGGGCTCTGATGTTCGTGTGCGGTGCGCTGCGCTGCCATGGCCGGTCTCTGTGTGTCGCTCGCTGGTTTGTCCGTCAATAAGCAGCCCTGACTCCACCTCTGAAGAAAGGCCGACACAGAGCACTGGTACATATGCTACGCACCCACCACCAGATGTGCCACAGGCCTGTACACGTCTGTCTGTCTGTCTGTGTGGCTGTGTTGTGCTGTGTGTGCAGGAGGACATTCGCGAGAGCATTGAAGAGCTGAAGTTCTACCGGAGCAACGTCTTTAGGGAAGTCGAGCCATCAGTGGGGCTGCCGAAGCACCCATAGGCAGCCAGCCAGCCAGCCAGCCGTAGCCAGCCAGTGTGGGAGAGAGTCGAGGGTGAGCCGCTGTTTAGATGTCCGTTGGTTGACCAAGGAAGCTGCTAGTGTGTAAGGGGTGACTGACCCACATAGGGTGCAGATGAATGAGCCACTTACGTCACGTAAGTCCATGAATGGCCATGAAGCCCATGTGGCTGGCATACATGCCGCCATTGTCACACATATATCAGAAAGTATAATCCACACACACACTCAATAAAGTGGATTGATGTGTGTACTACTATTATTACGACACAGAGGCCTACTGTACTGTGTAAATCACGTCAAATATACAATCAGACATACGACGAATCAACCACCCAGGACAGTCTGTGCAAGGGAATGCTATAGCCGGTACGACGGAAAAAGAGACAGGAGACAACACACACATACTGATTCATATACTCGTGACTAACACAGGCCTGCTGTAGTTTCGAATGAGTGGTATTAGCAAGTCAGTCACCCTACCCACCTCTCTTCCACCCTCATCAAAAAGCGTTGCATCTGGCGGGACTTTCCTGAAAAAGAGCGGGTGCCTGGAAGAGATAGTCTCCGTCAGTTTGGTCAGATTAAGAGAAGAGAAGCAAAGCGGGCCGCTGGGAGAACAGGAGCGCCCCATGCCGTAGCCGCAGGCGTCGGCGCTCCAGCAGGTTTTAGTATCGCAGAATTCGGTGAGGATTTTGTCATCACACCGGTCGGTGTGATTGGTTTGCAGGCCACCGTTCACCTGGATGGGCAGCCAGCCACACATGACATGCCGTCGATGTGATAATTTGGCCAATGCTGCTGTCCCGTACACTACCTGCTTCCATACGGCACCATTCCCAAGTGCCCTCCTAAGCACGTGATGTCCAAACCACTCACTCGGGTCTGCGTACGGGCCATGGCCACGGTTCCAAGGAAGGCCGTCGTACGGATAAGTAAGGCCCTGTGCGACGACGATCGAGGCGTGGTACCGGTTCCACGCCCGCCACTGGTGGTGCTTGAGATCTGCACAAAGAAAGGTGCGTAGCAGAAATGCGCGCATGAATATCCATGTTTCCGTCGGATAGTGCCTACCGTATCCGATAGTGCTCTCCGCATCTTGACAAGACGGAGAAGGGCTTGCTGTGTCTGCTGGGGTGCGGTCCAAGTCCATGTTTCCCATGCCCTTGTGTGTTGACCTGATGGACGTAGTTTAGCATAGGAGACAGGAATGGAATGGACGGTACGTGCACGCTGCATACCTTTCGAACGGCTTGGCCTTCGCATAACTGCAAGCGCACAGAGACAGACAAGCAATGAGCACGTATGTTTCGCCTCGTCTGTCTTTCTCAGCACCATATTCTGTGTACACACCCATACCAGAATCGGCTTGTGGGCTGCCCGCCGGTCTCGGGCACTCTGTGTTGGAAGAGGACGTCATACGCCACATCAGGATGGCTCACTGGAATGTGCGAGACAGTCACCAGCACCATCATCTGGTTGCACGGATCACGAAGGGCGGCCTTCAACAAGGCGTTCTCCGCGAGGACAAAGTTGCCATAGCTCGTCTTGACTCTCTCGACTGATATAGCTCCTCTAAGGCTGCTGGGCGGCTCACTCGCACCGGTGCCCTCCTGTATGTGCAAGTAGACTGTGAAACGACGCCTGTCCATCGACAAAGCGAGCCATTCTTCCCAAAGGGCAGCCAGCGGCACGTTGTTTTTCACCAGGAAGAGGAAAGCAACACTTGGCGGGCCACTGCAATCGCCGCACCCCCTGACAGCCACAGGTGGGCTTGACGCCCGAACGCAGTGGAATTGCTGAGAGGATGACGTGTTGGTCTTGATCAATGGCAGGAGATTCCCCTCCCTGAATCGGTCCAAATCAGCCTCCAGAGAGCACGCTGCGGTGTCTGGAATGGCACTGTCGATGAGCGAAGCTGCTCTTGGCCGCCCGGCGGAACCGAACCCAGTAGCGATGAAAGTGAGAGAGAAGATGGCGATGACACATACGGCGGCGAACAGCAGATGGGCGGAGAGAAGGGGGGATGCGGCGAGGCGAGAGCGTTCCATGCCGCAGGGCTCATTATTTCATCCGCCGTTGACTCGGCCGTTGGGCAGGAAAGGCACAGCTGCGAGGGCCTCTGGGCGTGTCTGCCCCGAGCCCAGGGCCTGCTGACCTCCCCGTACGTCATCTGCCTCTAACGGCCCGAAAGGTCTGTCCATTGACACGTCTTCACACTCGCGCAAATCCCGGATGTGGTGACCACCCCCCCACCCCCAGACACAACCAAAAACTCAATAACAGAGAAGCATCACTCAAGTCTCATTCACTTTGCACAGACCGACACAGTCGATCGATGAATGAATGGCTCGACCGACCCCGGCAGTCAGTCAGTCAGTCGTCAGTATGGACGGATAGCTGACAAAAAACACAACAAACAACAAAATACACACACAAACACATCAATCAGCCCTCACTGGCCCACTGCCGAACCATCCCGCCCGTCCGCCCCACCTACCTTCATTGATGTTTCTCACTTTCCACGACGCCGATGACGCACCGCCACCGCCTCGTTCATCATCGTTCCTGAGAAGGCTTCGCTCAAACGTCCACAGCCACAGGACCGTCTGTGAGGGGGTGCTCTCGAGGCCCGCAGACGACCACGGCGGGGGGCCCTCGGGCTCACGCTGCTCTTCTCGCGGGGTCTCCGGGGAGGGCGGCTCAGACACGCCCTGCATGTCAGCCGGCTGGACAAGGATACATACATACATACATGTGTCTGTCATACATACATGTGTCTGTCCCCTGGTATGAGTGGCGTGCTTGGTGCGTGCCGTGCTTACATGCCAGGGCACCTTGGAATGTCGAGGCGCTGGTCCGACGTATGCCAAGGGGGGCATGTCATCGTCCTTGGGGGTCGGCGGCTGCTCTGGCAGCAGTCTGAACTTCTCCCTCGCTGCCAGCTCCACGTCAACGACGATCCGCCTCGGGACACCTGATGGGTGCTGGATGTCGCGAGATAGGGCGCCCTCGGGGCCGAGCACACCTGCATGCCATGCAGACGGCCAGAAGGAAGGCAAAACTTGCATCATGATGTGTGTATGGGTATGTGTTTGCCTGCCGCCGACCAGAGAAGAAGTGGTAGAGGGCTTCTCTCTGGTCCATTCGACCGAGGATGCCCAGCTCGCTCTCGCCCGAGCCCTTCTCGACGCGCACATCCAACACCCTCGGATGAACCTCCTGGATCATCCATCCACACACATGAACACCCAGCCGGCGAGCCGTGCCAGTCAACCCAACCTCCCTCCCTCCCTCCCTCCCTCCCTCTCAGCAGTTCACCTCGACGACTAGGTACGGTTTCAGCTGGTGTTTGGCGTAGGTGTCCAGGACCTCCATCAGGAAGTGTTTGAGGGATGGTGTGAGGATCTCGCCGAACCGCTGACGGGCCGCTGCGCGGACAGCGGGGTCCGGGGAGGTGGCGTCAACGTACAGCTGTGCTACACACTCGTACGCTGTCTTCATGCCCTCTGCACCAAGCAGTCAATGAACGACACGACAGGTGGATGGACAGCAGAAAACACAAACACGCAGACACACACACGTCTGTCCACTTCCCACCCACCTTTCAGTTCCTCTGCAGTGATACCCATGTCTGTGAGTGCCTGGTTCTGCTCGTCCGTGAGCTCGTCGTCGCTCACCTCCCGCCCCTCGGCCCGCTGCGCCTTCTGCCGCTCCAGCAGCTTCGAGTTGAGCTGCGACAGCAGCTGCCGCACTCGGTCCTGCTCCACGAATCCCCACCTCAGTGCGTCCATTTTCATGTGTGCGAGATCTGCACGCGATACCATGTGCTCGCGCCACCTGGCAGTGCACACAAAGACAGGCAAAGAGGGACATCCAGACAAAGACAATCATCGGCACCGCAACACACATTCGTAGATCTGACTGTGTGCGTGTGCGTCTGTCTGTCTTGTGTGCACCTCGGGAAGATCCTGTGCGAAAGGGATCGGAACTCCGCCAGAACGCTGCGCATGGACATAATAGGGACCTGTGGGCTGCGCGGGAGGGTTTTGGGTGAAAGGGTTGGGGTCAAGGGTTTATGCCCTCGTGGCGGGACTCATTGCAACCAACGATTACCGTGTTCGTTCCCGCATATTATAGATACAGGCAGACAGATCCTGTCTCCACCACACACACACACGCACACAATTGTGCTCACCGGCAAGAACGCAGTGACACACACGCCAGGCCCACATACATCACTCACACCATGCTATGCTCATCTCGATTGACAGAGCCCTCAATGCACCGCACCCACCTGACCATTGGCATGAGCGATAAAAGAGAGCATCGGCTGCTGCATGAGAACTAACCACCAGACAAACCACACGAACCACACGAGAGGACCCCTCAACCCACCCAATCACATCACATGACATGCAGTGAGTGCAGCCAGCCAGCCCGTACACACACGTGAGTGACGTGAGTGACACACATCACACCGGCCGTCCCGTCACTGCTGCTGCTTCTCGACCATCCGTTCGGCCATTTGTTTCATGACGACTATGACGACGGCGTGTAGGGGTATCATAGGCTTGTTGGCCTCGGCTATGCAGGTGAGGGCGCCGAACAGCAGCTGCATCTTGGCCGTGTCCTCCACAACACCACTCTTGAAGTGACGACCCTCAAACCTACACACGCACGTACACACACCAACATGACATGTGCGTGTGTGTCGTCATGGATGGCTGGATGGATGGATACCTTTTGACGAGTCCCTTGGCGATGGGCATAGTGATGAGTGGCAGGGCGTACCAGAGGTTGGTCATCAGTACCCGGACCATCGCCAGTCCGTAAGGCACGATCACCAGCGCCTTGTACAGCCACACCGACGCGTCTAAGCCAACCACCGCCGCCAACGTCCTCCCGCCCGCATCTGCACACAACACAACACAACACAACACAAGACAAGACAGCCCGACAAGGCTGTGTGGTGTGATGTGATGTGATGTGGAGTCGTGTGATGGGTGTCGGTCGGGTGTGTGTTCTGTGTGCGCATCCCTCTTTACTGAGATCGTTGTTGATGTCCCGCGTGTTGTTGGCGTGGAGGATGGCCACCGTGTGCAGGACCAGAGGCAGTGCACGCCAAATAGGCAGCAGCGACAGCTTGCCCGTCTGACACACCAAACCAACGCACCACAGACACCCCAAAACCATCCATCCATATCACCTGACTGACACCCATCCTGACGCTGTGCCTTTCGTTCTCTCGTTGTGACAGACAGACAGACAGACAGACAGACAGACCTGCACGAAGAATGAGAAGAGGGTCTGGAGGCTCCAGGCGGCGAACACACCCACGTCGCCCAGGCCAATGTACTTGAGGCCAGGAGGGGCCGAATAGATGGACGCGATCAAGGCCCCTCCGGCGATGAAGAGCAGCAGGGTGAGGGGGTCCACTCCTGCCGGCGCCAGGCGGGCCAGCTGCACGCCGGCAATGCCGCTGACCAACCACGAGCCAGCCATCAGGATGAGAACCTGACACACACACACAGACACACACACACAGACAACCAGGCAGGCTATGTGTGTTGCATTCCTCCCTCCATCCTATCGCGATCCACACCTGTTTGACAGTGAGCCTATCCTCAGCGAGCGTCGGGTCGGCGTTGTGCTCCCTGGTGTCGAAGCCCTTCTTGTGGTCGAAGTACGTGTTCAGCAGGTTGGCAACGCTCTGCAGCCCCACACACACGGCCAACTGCAGCAGAAACACCGGCAGGCTGAACATGTCCTCCGAGCGCCACGCCACCGCAGCACCCAGAGCAGACGTGCACAACGTCGGGCTGAGCGACCAGGGGCGGAAGGCCTCTATCACGTAGTGAGCCGCGACCTGCCCCGTCGGCGTTGGAGGCGGTGGGGAAGAGCATTTCTGATCGTCCGCTGGAACAGGGGTGGCCGTGGACGGTTGTTTGGTCGGGGCGGTGCGCCGCACAGGGACGGTCATGGTTCGCGGCGAGGGAAGGGAGGAGCGGCGCAGTGAGGGGGGTGGGAGTGCAGACGTTGATAGAAAGACCGATGAAACGAGAAGGACGACTAAGAGCTTCATTTGGAGACCACATCCATCGTGTCCCAGATCTGCGTGAAAAGCTCGCGGTGAAGAGGAAACGGCAGCCGTCGTTCGGTTCTGCCATTCCACTCCGCAGAGCCGCATTCATCGTTACACACACTCTGTGAGATAGCCTTCCGTCTGAATGCCGCAGTGTGCACTGCACGCGTCCTCATCCGAGGCGCAGCGCCACCACCCTGATGCCAGTTCGCCAGCCCAGCCGTCAGACCCATCGCCCACCCTGCCGCCGCCTCCCTCCGTCGGGAAAACACGACTCCAATTCAACACAGCGGCGCGGCAGCTGTCCAAAAACGGCTATGTAAGCTGCCAGGATGCATTCTATGGACGGTGTGATGGGCTGGGCGTCTTCGACGGTGTTGGTAAGCAGACCATACACGGCCAGGGATGGATGGGAGAAGCTAGCTGCATGCATGGGCAGATGCATGTGAGGCGGGCGAGTCAATGGGGCTGGCTGCTCGGGTGTTTGTTTGTTGCAATGCATTCAATGTGTTGCATGTTTGTTGGCTGCTTGTGTGTGCAGGTGGTGTGAGAGGTCCGTGTGACTCTCAGGCGTTTGCCCGGTGTCTGGCGCAACACTGCATGGCGGAAACACAGCACATAGACGACAGCACACACCATCGCGCGCTCAAGTGAGTCACAGAACGAGAAAATCACTCATACAAAGGGTATTCCTGGTGTGTGTGTGTGTGTTGTGTGGGTGTTCTGTGTGTGTGCTGTGTGGTCGTCATGCAGGGTGTTGGAGGGTGGGTGGGAACAGATGTTGACGCGCTCGACGGACAAGAAGGGCGCCTCCACGGCCGGTAGATGACACAGGCACCAAGACACGCACACACACATATGCCCTCTGTCACTCATGTTTCTTGTCTGTCGTCCCTTTGTCCTTTTGTCTGCTGTTCTTTGATATATGCAGTGATCGGCGCGTTGGTTCATCCCAACATCCTGAGCGTGTGTGTGTGTGGCGACTCCCTCATCGGCGTGTGGCGTCGCGGCAACGGCAAGGACCAAGACAGATACAACCTCATCTACCTCTCGCCAGCCGGCTGCAGCGGGTGGGTGGGTGAGAGAGAGCATGCAATGCAGCACACAAAAATATATATGGATGAAGGGGGGCAGTGGGGCGGGCACAATTCCTGTGTGTGTGTGCGTGCGGTGGACAGGTTCAACACTCCCCATCAGATAGGCAGGCTCTACGACGTCGATGAGGACGATGACCTAGTCCTCGACCAACCCATGCTCTGTAAGCGAGGAACGCACCACTTCACACCACACCACACCACACACACGATCCTGTGAATGGATGTGTGTGTGTGTGTGTGTGTCGGTGCAGTCTCCCCCCGCACCCTCGAGGGGCTCCACCGCTACGTCAGTCGTGAGGACATCCCCCTGCAGGAGGGAGACATCATCGTGGCAGCGTCCGACGGCGTGTGGGACAACCTCTACGAGCGCGAGGTCACGTCTCTCATCAACTCGGTCGCCCGCATGGATCACATGGAGACGCCTGCCCCTGGCAGCCCGGCGGACTACGCCCAGAAGATCTGCCATGCCGCCTTCGTGTCGAGTGTGTGCCCCTTCTTCCGCACGCCGTTCCGCGACAAAGGCAGAGAGGAGCTGCCCGCACACCGGCTCAGGAACTTCAAGCAGCAGGGCGGCAAAATCGATGACAGTAAGGAAAAGGCTTAAACAGAGCAAGGGAGGGAGGGAGGGAGGGAAGGAGGGAGGGAGAGATGATACACAAATGGAAGGAGCCATGCTCATGAATGGCTCTCTCTCACCTCCCCTCTGTCGGTATGTCGGTCTGTCTGTCAGTCACGGTTGTGTGCGCCATCGTGGCCTCGGTGAGTGCGGATCTCCCCCTCCCTCCCCCCCTGGACCCCTCAGCTGCCGAGCTGCCGCAGCCGCAGATTGACATGCCCTCCCAGACCGACATGATGCGGGACGGGTATGACGACGAGCCGCCGCTGGGCGAGACGTACCGTCAGGTGATGCAGCGGACGATCAGCAAGACTCGACGGGACACCGGCAGGGGCGTCCTGATGAACAGAAGGGGCAAGGGCAAGGGCAAAGGCAAAGGCAAAGGAAGAGAAAATCGCAGCAAGAAGGACAAGTAAGCCTTGCTGTGAACACAGACGGAGGCAGGCAGGGATGTATCCGTTTGCTCTGTGTGCGGTGTGTGGTGCTGAGCAGGGGTGCCGACGGTGTGGAGGGGAAGCTCAAGTCGCCCGATACTGACGACGGTGACGACCAAATGGCGGACGTGGGATCGGCGCAAGATGGTCAGCCAACCGCAAGCAAGAGCAGCAAGAGCACAAACAGACAGACACACCGATAGATAGCTCCCACTCACTCAGCTCATCCACGTGAATGCTGGTACGTACGTCTGGATGTCTGTCTGCAATCAATCAGGTGCTGGGAGTGTGTGTGAGGGTGCTCTGTGTGAGGGTGTGCCTGTGAGTGAGCCGCTGCACGTCGACGGCACTGTGGGCGTGGTGGAGGCCTGTGTCGTGCGGGTGGACAGCGGCGTCCCCTCCGACAGAGGAGAACAGCACCACCAGAACTCGCCCAAACGGTAGGTGGCCCATGATGGATGGGTATGTATGTGCTTTGTTGGGTTATGTATGTTGTGCAGGCCCCACCGTCTGATGGACCTCGAGTCGCCACCTGCTGCCCCGCACACGCACACCAGCACAAAGGTGGGTGGGGGAATGACTGACTGACGCGACAACACACCACAACACCATCCAATCCACGCACACACACACATACACATACACACCTTTCTGCATTATATCTGTCTGTCTGTCTGTCCTCTCAACCAGCCCCGCTCCCTGCGCTCGATGGCCTACTTCCCGCAGCCGCCCAGCAATCGCACCGCCAACATCAAGGCACTCATGGCCAAACTCAACAACAACAACAACAACAGCACCAGCTCCAGCACTGACGGCGAGCATCGCATGGTGCTGCCATCGGTGTCCAAGCGCAAGGGCGGCGGCGGGGGGCACGGCAGCAGCATGAGGGGCGTGGGGAAGCTCAAGGGCAAGGTGGCGGCGGCCACGAGCACCAACCGCCGGTGGGGAGGAGAGGAGGCGGTGGAGATGGACACAGATGATTGAGGATGATGGAGGGTGTGCAGTGCAGAGGAGTGCAGCATGCTGCACATGCACTCCCCTGCTGTGTGCACTCATGACGTATCTATCGTATTTTCCCGTTGTGTGTGCGGGAGTGTACATCTAGCTAGCTTGCTCGGCCGATTGACAGACGTCCGTAGACAGACAGATAGATGGGAAAGGGAGCTCAGCTCGGAGGGAGGGACCCATTGCTCAGATGGATGGATGCATGGGCCGGCTTGGTCCCTCGACGGTATGACAATTAATTCAACGCCCATACACACACACACACACACACACAGGTCCGTGCGCCATGCGCATGCGTCAACACAAATTGTGTGTATCCCAGCCACACACACTCACTACATATAGCCACACACACCCGGACCCTTTCTCTCCCATTCGTCTCATCGATCTGCCGCCCATCCCTCCCCTCCCTGCCTAAGCCATGTTAGCATCTATCTACTCTATCCATCTCTATCTATCCGTCTATTTAGCGTGCCGACAGTGGCACACCGACGCCCCTCGCTGCTGTGTCCTTCGTGTGTGGTAGCGGTGGTGGTCTCCTCGCCCTCGACGTGGGGCGGTCGGTCAGCAGTGGGCCACCCGCTGATGGCACGGGTGCGACGGCAGCCGCAGCAGAGAGCGTCGGTGGCGGGGCAGGGGGGCCCCTGCCGCCTGTGGTGCTCAGGCGGTAGTTAACCACGGCCCTGTATGAGTACACACGCAAGACACACGCAAAGAAGGTTCGTGTGTTGACTGACTGACATGTGTGGTTAGTGTTGTACGTGCTACTTACTGCGCCCATCTGCCGAGGCGCGTGGCACATATGGGCAAGTCACGCCATTGCTGCAAAAAAAGGAATGCACAGACAGAGAGAGACACAGATGAGGCGGGCGAGACACGATGGGTGGTTGAAGGAACATTCGATCTCCATTCACCCCCAGGGCCTCGGCTCAGCTTGCCTGTGACAGTTTGGCGGCCTTGCCGACCAGCCTGTCTACCTTTTGCGCCAGCGCGGTGTCAATCACATCCTGCATGCATGCATAATACATACAATAATTACATCCACTATCTCAAGCAAAGGATGCGTGTGATGTGTGTCGTGTTTCCTGGGTCACTGCCTTCCTGACTGACCGCATTGACAGCGAGCAGAGTGTCAGAGAAGGGCGAGGTGCGCGCCTGCATCATGTGCCTCCACGCACGCACCCACGGCATCAGCCACACGTGCTACAGACAACCATGGCCATGGAGTGGATCGATCGGATCGGCCTGATGTGTGTGCCGGTAGGTGGGTGGGGTGGGGTGGCTGACTCTGGCGTGGAATGGTGTGTCTGTGAGCTGCATCCTGGGGAGCCTCGCGCGGCGGCCCTTCATCTGGCTGTTGAGCAACAAACATATCGCCTGCACACATAAGAAGAGCAGACAGGCATTCACACCGACATGAAAAAAATGTGCCTCTTGGCAGCCACACACTGACTTGTATGAGCAGGCACAGAGGGAAGGGTGGGTCCTGCGTGTCTCCCAAGGCCTTGACATCCTTGTCGCGCACCCAGACCAAACCCTGCCGAGCAGACTGCAACACCTGCAGTGCCAAACACACACACACACACAGAGACACACACACACACACACTCACACCAGCCCGCCCATTCACTCGCCCTTTGCTTGCCTGCACCGCAGCCCTGACTCCACTGTCCATGTCTGTCTCCCCTCCCATCTCCTTGCCACCAGGGGCCCCCTCCCCCTCGCCCTGTTCCTCTCCCTCTCCCTCATTGGTGTCGGGCTCAGGCATTGCCCGGCCCACCGGCACCACTGGCGTCTTGTTGGCATCAGTGATGGGCGGCTCCTGCTGAGGCGGGCGATGGGCCATTTCGTGTGTCTCTTCCTCCACGGCGGCCTCTGTGATGACGTGGATGTCAGGCATGGCTGGGATGGGGTTGTCAGGGGCGGGGAGGGTGTCACGGGAGATGCGGGACCACTGGAAGCCACGACCGCCAGGATGCTCCCCGTCATCATGGTCATGGCCATGGTCAAGCTCTTGCTGTCTGGGGACGTCTTGCTGTTGGTGTGATGGTGACGATGTGTTGTTGCTGTTGTTGTTGTTGTTGCTGCTGAGGTTGGATAAGATGCCGCCCATTGACTGGAACTGGTCGTAGAGGTTCGTGTAAAGGAAACGGATCTCTGAAGAGACAGAGACGCAGACGAAGGGATAGTGCACCAATGTAGGGATGGCCAGGGGCGTGCGTTGTAAATTACGTTGGTTCTCTTCGATGAGGTGGGTGACGGATCGCGTCAGGTTCTCCACCTCAGTCTGCGCCTTCTGACGACCTGCACAACACAAGGGGAGAAGGGCGAATGTTGTGCATGCTGCAGTGGCCCAACACTGGTGTCCGTGCCTTTCATTTCCTCCACACAGGCGGTCTCGAGGCATCGCACTGACTCGAACAGCCGCTCTGAGCACACAACAGAGCAGGAAGAGATCAATGTGCCGAGTGGTGGTATGCGGACATACCGAGGTGTCCGACGAGCTCTTCCGTCCACACCACCCGCCCCTGCCCCCTTAACCTCTCCATCAGATCTTCCACGTCCCTCGACGGCAGACCCGCCTCATCGCCACCCCCAAGAACACCATGTGGACCACTCCCCGCACCCTCCAGAGACACATACGGCGGCGGCGCGCTGCTCCTATCAGACCCACGCATACTCGTGGATATCTCCGAGACTCCCAGCCCCCTGCCATCGTCCTTGTCCTTCTTGGTCCGCTCGCAGTCCACAGACATACTAGAGGTCTGCGCGGCGGGAGCTGATGGCTGCGAAGGGCCGGAGACGTGACGAGATACCCTGGTTGCGTATATCTGTGTGACAGAGGTGGGGCAGCCTTGGTCGGGGTCGTGTTGTGCTGGAGGGGTGACGTGCACCACTGCAGGGGGTGGGGGAGGGGGCGGCGGCGATGGAGGCGGAGGCCGTGGGAGAGTCGCTCGGGGGTTCATGGGGGAGGGGCGCGTTGCAACAGGGGCGAAGGCCCGATGCGGGTGACCGAAATGGGAAGCAGCAGCAGCAGCGAAGGCGACTGAAGCGTGACAAGGCATCGTAATGCACTTCTCCGACCCTCCTGCACACACACACACACATGCCCATGCAAACGAGCAGGATTCTGAAGAGACTGACCAGTCATGATTTGCGGCCGCGGCGGCGCTGACGTCGACATCCCCAATGGCCAGGCTGATCTCAGTGGCACCATATGCACCGTGGCACTTCTCTCCCCATTGATGCGGCCACGGTGAGGCGTGGCACTTGTGGGAGTTCGCCTGGGTGTGAAGAGGGTTGTCCGCCTGGGGGGAGGCGGGGCGGGCAATAAAGGGCCGTGCTGCAGTGGAGGTGGACGGCACAACAGGCCACCGCCAAACATGGCTACGACTCTGAAGAAAAGACCCAAGTCGGGCAGGCCCACAGCCCCCAGTTTGCATGTGGCCAGGATATACGAGGGGGGAATCGTCATCATGTTGGCATTTGCGGCTGCGCTCGTCCTCTCCGCTGCTTTGAGCGGGGCCGCAGGTGAATGCATCCGCGATGCGGGCATGGGGGCATGCTGTAACACGCCGTCCGAGATAGACAGCAATGGTAGGTCCGACACAAACAAGAAGGCAGATCTCCGCTCTCCTCCCGCCTTTGCTGTGCTGCAGGGGCTTGCAGCACCTCCTTTGTGGAGGACAAGGCCACCAAAGCTCACAACACAAACCTGGAAGGTAACCAAACTGAGACAGTGGACAGTGCAGAGGGAAGCGGAGCTAGGTGCATTCTGAGCTGTGTGCATGTGTGTGTGTGTGTGTGTGTGTGTGCGCGTGCGCATGGCAGGTCCCTTCATGGGGGGATATCGTGAGCAAGGCACAGACAGAGAGAGCGCAGTATGGGAGAATGTGTGTGTGTGTATGCGTTGCAGTGTGTTATTTGAAGGCGGGGGATGAGGTTTTCCCCCAGCCCTACTCGCCCAGCGAGTATCCCGAGATTGGCCAGCACACAATGGCCTCGTCAATCGACAGCGGCCCCATTAAAGCAACCTGCAACTGCCCCCTTGACAACTGCTGTTGTCTGTTTCCCGCCATGTCCACCAGCACCGGCTCCTATGCGGTGAGCCACTGCACACGGCACGCTGCATCGCCTGGGGTGTGTGCGCGTGTGTGACTCGTGTGTGCGTGTAGGCCGGATACGAGTACTTCCCCGGCACTATGCAGAAGGGCAAGGTGTGGGGGGATTACTGCGGGGCGGAGTGGGCGGACATGCAACGTGGCTGGTCCCGCACCAAGTGCGAGGTGCCCCTCCTCGGTGTGTCTGTATCGTAGCCGCTGATCGGTAGTCACATGAACGTACGTCCCCCACGTGTGCAGATGGATGTGGCTACTCCGGTATACATACATGTTTAATTAATTGTGTCTCTGAGTCACACTTGCCGTGTGTATGTATGTGTAGATCGGCTGACTCGTGTTTTTGGCTGGCTGGCTGGCTGGCTGGCTGACGGACGGAAGGACGGACAGTAGACACCCTCGGGAAGGGGCATGGCGGGGGGACTTCGATCGATACTAGTACTACCTCTGTACGTCAGACAGACAGACAGTGCTTCAACATGTATGCATGTATGTATGTATATAAACGGATGTCAATCCACCCATTGCACACCATGCGAACGAACACCAGACATACAGATTCACAAACACACACACACTCAGGCACCCACCGTACAAAAAGAGACACGGCCGCCCCCCTCCCCCCCCCCACGACGAATGAATAAGCATTTCATTCGTCAGTTGATTCACTCACTGCGTCATGTATGTCATGAGCGCTAGCTAGAGCATTCTGACTGTGTCCAGGCCATCCATCCATCCATCCATCCACAGTCTATATAAACATACTAATGCATACGTACACGTAAGTATACAAATACATACAGACATACATACATACAGTTGCTGATGGTTGACAGATAGATAGCTATGGTACATCACTCACATCCAGCCATCGGCCGATCCAGGAAGGTATACAATACAGACCAACCCACATCGCAAATCGACTCTCTCTTCCACCCCTTCACTTCTAAGTAACAGAGTGACCGACCGACAGAAAAAAGGACAGACAGACAGACAGACAGACAGAGGGAGACAAAACTGCTGCTCACAAGTCAGACAAGGCAGGCAAGGAAAGGAAGGAAATGAGCATCACACCCACTGCACTCATCGCAGCTACTTCTTCCCGGCTGCAGCGGGTGTGTATGGGTACTGCTTGTACTTGAGCTTCATGAGCACCGCCGACTTCATCTCACGCTCAACTGGTGGCCGGTACACATACGACTGTCCCCACACACAGACGACAACACACGGCACACAACACTGTGCACGTCACATGTCATGTGTGCACCTCCCAATGTGTGCACCTCCCAAGCTCTCTCACCCGTTCCGCCTTCTCGATGGCCCTCTCTCCCTGACGATAGAAGGTCTGCCACCCTGATGAATGAATGAATGAATGAGTCCACGTGACAAACAAAGCAGACAGACAAGATGGCCGAACGGACAGACAGCCTAAATCACTCGTCCGTCAAGAAGATGGATCGGCCAAACAAACAAACAAACAAACATACCTGTGAGCATGGAAGTCGGCGGCTTCTGATACGCAATGGCTCGCGCTACGCGACGCTCCTGCATACGGACGGGCAGATAGAGAGGGATTAGGTACTCGCGCGGCATGGTTTGTCTGCGCACGGTACTTGCCTGTTGAGCAAACTCATAGAAATCGAGGCGACGGAAGAAGCCCGTGAAGAGCTTTGAGTATGAAGGCATCTGATTCACCCGACCCGCCGCTGCTTGACGTGCGAGATCTCCCGCTTGAGTTACGAAGGACCTGAGGCAGACACCACACATGTGCGTGATGAATGCATGTAGACAAAGTGATGTGAAGAATGCCGTTACACCGTTACCTTGTCACGCACAGCCCTCGCGCATGCGCGAGCTCACCTCTCGAGACCTCTCCCCTAAGCTCGCAGTGGTGCGGGCGTTCTCACGCTGTTCTCCCCCACATCGGCCTTTGGTAATGCCACCAAACGGGGATGCAGAACAGATCTGAGTGTCAGCAGCCTCGCGCACCGCCCGCACCCCCTCACCGCCTGCATTCTTCCTTGTCCGTCTCTGACCTGGCCTTCCCTCTCGCTGCATTCATTCAACCTGCTATCTCATCTCGGCTCTCTCGTGTGACGACAATGGCACTGCACTGACTGACGAGAGGAAATAAGGCGCGGCTAACGGCTCTGTTCTGGTTGACTTGGAGACCTTGGAGAAGCAGAAATGGTCCCGAGAGAGCGACGGAGGGCGCCATGCGAATCGGAGCAGAAGAGAGGTAATCTTCCCCTTCAACGCATGAGCCGCCAGCAGCAATATCAGCAGCAGCAGCAGCAGTGTCCCGTGCCCGTGAGCTTCGCCGAGCCCGGTGTGAGCGTCGGCGAGGGCGTGAGTGCGCTGTCGGCGATCCCACCAGCCCTCTTCAGTCACGAGCTTCTGCCCTTCCTGTCCTCTCAAGACACGCTCAACCTCTGCCGCGTCAACAGGTGGGAGAGAGAGGCAAAACGACAGACAAACGGAATACACAGACGTCGATATGGTGTGTGTTCGGGCCGGGTCTCTCATGTCATGTGTCTGTCAGGTACTGGGATGAGTGTTGCGTGCAGTCGCCGAGTCTGCACGTGCCGTCGTCGAGTGCCCTGAGCCGCTTCACCGCCCGGCTGCCCCTGGCCAGACGGTTCATCTTCCGCCCACCCGTCACCTACTACCGACACTCACCTGCGCCATGCTCATTCTCACCCTCTACCTCACCCACTCCTGCACTCCGACCCGTCTCACGAGCCATCGCCACTACCAGCCTGCAGATCGGGGGCACACACGAGCTCCTGACAACAACGGAGAAACCCCCATCCGACACATCTCCATCGCACCAGACCACCAAGGCCAGCACCAGCACCAGCACAGCCGCCCTGTTACCCCTCCCCGCCCCCGCCCTGCCAGCACTGTATGCGACTTTGGGCAGCTTTGTGCGACTGGAGGTGCTGTCCGTGTGCGCCCCGCTGCCGCCATCCCTCATCGAGAAGATCATCGAGCAGAACGCACGCAGCCTGCGCGACGTGCGCGTGGTGCTCTCCCTGCGGCGCGATCCTGCCACAGCAGGCATCAGCGCCAACAACAGTGCGACGACAGCACCACCACACACAGTGAGCAGGACTACCGCCACCACCAGCAAGGCGGTAGGGAAGGGTGTGGTGCTGCATCTGCCCGGCCTGCCGCTGCCCATGCTGGAGCGACTCACCGTGACCAACCACGACATGCCGGGAGCCACCGCTGCATACGGCGGATCGCAATCGCAGTCGGCATCGTCGAGTAGTGGTGCGGTGGTGGTGATGCACTCGGGGCTCAGCTGCGTCAAGCTGACCCACCTGCAGATCGGAGGCGTGGATCGCACCCAACACCACCACTACCACCAGGGCCTTGACGAGGGAGGTGCCAGTAGCGGCAGCCAGCTGCTCAAGGCGGGTGCGGCGCGATCGGCGCTGTGCCCGCCGCGACTCATCACCGTCAACTTCCAACAAGTCCACTTCAGATCCCTACAGGTAAGGTGCGGTGCGCCGCGTCAGACAGACAGATAGACACACGAGAGAGCGGGCCGCCCCGCTCTGCATCATATCATTAGGTCGGCGATTGACTGGTGTTGGGCTGTGCTGTGTTGTGTTGTTGACCGCAGGTGGTTCACCTGGAGGCCGTGTTGGACCTGACGGTGGTCTTCTCCTGGCTGGCCGACCCCGCCAACGCCGCCACACTCAAAGACATCAGCCTCGCATCACCAAACCTCTGCGCCGCACACCCCCACAGCCACCTTAACCATCACCCTCAGCACCATCACCCCCAGCCCCTCCCGGCCTTCCCGTCGGTCGCCTTCCCCGCCCTCCACTCACTCAGGCTGCGACAGCTCCCGCACCCGCACTCGGTGCACTTCGATCGCTATGCCGCTTTCCGCTTTGTCGGCCCGCACAGGTGCTTCCACAGGCGGCCGAAGCAGCAGCTGCAGCAGCGGCAGCAGTGCGAGCAGCCGTGTTTGTCGCTGCCGAGCCTGAGTGAGCTCCAGCTGGATTTGAATGACGCTGCGGGGACGCTGAACGTGGGCGGGCTGGTGGGAGCGATGCGGCGGCAGCAGCTGCGTGTGTGTCGGCTGTCGCGCCTGCCGATGGCTGTGGAGGGCGTGCATCAGCTGCTGAGCCAGCACCATCTCACGCTGACGGACGTCACGCTGGGATGCGACATTCTCTCGGTCAGTCAGTCAGACAGACCAGACAGCCACACAACACAAGACACCCACGCGACGCCTCTCTGCCTGTGCTCTCTCTCTGCAGCCCTCGCCGCACCCCTCCCCGGCCCTGCCCTCCCTCCCATTCCCCTCCCTCCGCACTCTGCGTTGGATTGCGCGTTGCCAGGTGCCGCCCTTCCTGCTGATGGCGCCGGGCTTCACGTGTGACGACCTGCAGGAGCTGGAGATGCTCGAGCAGAGCGAGCCCATCCCGCAGACCGCCATGGCCTACAGGCTGTTCCGCCACACGAGCGGCGACACCCTGGAGGTCCACATGGGGTGGGTTAGGCGCCTGCATGCCTCTCTGAGGCACCTGTCACTCACGCAAGAGGGCGGGGAGGGGGACTTCGACTGGCCACTGTGGCTCATCAGAGGTATGTACGCAGATCAGATGGGCAGGGCAAAATGGATGGCGGATATGTACATATGGATGGTGTCGATCGAACAGGTCTCCGTCCGTCGACGTTGAGAGGCCTGGAGTCCCTGGTGCTGGCCGTCCCACACTTCCCGTCGCCCATCCTCACACACCTGGCACTCGCCAGCAGCACCGCCCCGACCACCGACATCAGCACGCCATTCCCCACATCACACACACCGCCGGAGAGCCAGGAGGACCACGACCAGTGTCGGCTGCAGCGTCTCCACATTGTGTGCGGCAGCGACGGCAGCGGCCCGTCCGTCGCTGTGGCCAGCGCCCTCTCCCCCGGCAAGGGCGCGCCTTTGGGTGCGTCGATGGCTGCGTGGGTGGGGCGTGTGGCGGCGCAGCAGCTGGTCAAGAAGTGCCCCAGCCTCACACAGGTGGGGCTGTACTACGTGACAGTCCACGACGAGGACGCGCCGATGCCGCTGCCCCCCTCCCCGCCCCTGCCCACTCCCTCACCCTCACCCTCACCCGTCGCCCCCGCAGTACCCACACACCAACAGCCGCCGCCACACGCCCGTCGCGTGTTCTCGTCAGCCTCGCGGACGCGCCACACCCCCAACCTGCTGCTGCCCGACCCTGTCAGACTGCCCCCCGCGATCAACGCGGCCTCCGGGCGGCCACCGTACATTCGCACCCGGCCGGCCGAGAGCACCACCGGCAGTGTGGCGTACCCCCCCGCACCTGCTGGTGCTGGTGTCGGTTTGTGTGAGGGTGGTGGTGCTGGTGGTGGTGGTGGTGCTGGTGCTGGTCTGCCGGCTTTGGTGAAGAGTTTGGACTGTGCGTTTGGGCGTCGCGGGCTGCGGCTGGAGGCGTCGAGCGGTGTCTACATATGGAACCAGAGGGACAAGGAGGGCGGCGCCGCCACCGCCTCATAGCCACTAAGCAACCAAGCCAGCTAGTTGTCGAGGAGAAAAAGGTAAGGTGCGCCGGCAGAGAGCGGGAGAAGGAAGGCTTCACGTGTTAAGTCTGCCGTCATTGTGTGTGTATGTCAATATGTGCGTGTGTGCAGGTTGTTTGTCGTGATGTGTCGGCTGGTCGGGTGGCCTGAAGGTGCCGTCAAGCGCATTACCTGCAGGGACGGTTTGGTTCCTGCAGAAGGAAGGTCACTGCCTGCCTGCCTGCCTCACTCACTGCGTTCTCTTTGCTTTGGTGTGTTGTGTTGTGTGTGGTTGCAATGTTGCTATCATTTTGCCATCGTGTGGGTGTCTGTCTGTCTGCCTGTCAGGGGTGATTGAATGCTGTGCGGTGGGTGGTTCTGGTGATTCTAACTGACTTGCTACTTACTAAATCTAGCCAGTGGGCGGCCTCACACGTGTGAGAGTGAGAGAGTGCCTCTGAATGAGTTGAGGAGCGTCGTGTGTGCCTTTGGTCCTCTGTCTGTCGGTCGGCTTTCGCTGCTTTCCGTGTGTGTGCTGTGCGGGTGTGTGTGCCCTCCTGTCTGCCCGTCCCGTCTTGGTTGCTTGCTCCCCCTTGCCCTCACTCCCTAGTTGCCCCTGCCTCCAGTTTCCCCTCGCCCCGCTCCACTCTGCTTTGATGGATGGATGGATGTGGTGGGTGCATGCAGTAAGTCAGCCCGCCCGCCCGCCCGCCAGCAGTCACCCCACTGTGAATCAGGCACTCCAACCAACCAACCCACATCACATCACACGCATTACTTACGTAACCGTGCGTTTCGTACACTCTAATTCCTACTTGCTCATGCGTGCCACCACTCACCACACCACACCACACTTGATGCGATGCGTTCGTGGACCGATGGATGGATGGGTGCGTGCTGGGTGCTCCGTTCGTGCGTGCATACGTCTTCTGTCGGTCAATCGACCGATTGCTTTCTGTCCCCTTCTCTCTCTCTCTCTCTCTCTCTGTGTGTGTGTGTGCGTCGGGTCGCTCTTTGCTCGCTCGTGATTTGACAGACAGACAGCAGGAAGACTTGCTCAAGGACGTGTGGGTGTGGGTGTGCTGCTGCTGGACCATGTCGCTGTTGTTTGCCCTTGTTGGGGGGCTGCTCAGGAGAGGTGAGGGGCCCCCCATCAAGGCTGTACCCAGCTGGATGTGCTGAGTGGTGTGTGCTGCATGCATTCATGTGTGTGGTGCTCAAAGACACGTAGAGAGAGGAGTTAACGAGACGATGAATGAGAAGAAGCAAAATGGACGGACGAACGGACGGGGAATGTCTATCTATCTACTGTCTCATCGATTGCTCGATGAATGCAGGGATGAATGCCGGTCGGTGGTTTTGCTGTGGTGGCCTGAGTGAGGCGCTTGCTGGGCAGGCAGGGCGGCAGGGCGGGATGTATAGCGGCTTCCTGACTGACCTGACACTGAGTGAGTGAAGAGATATCCTTGTGGTGGCCACACACACGCACACGCACACACACACACCCCTCCACAAGGGAGAGTCGCCTCTGTCTGTCACTTGCTCATACCTGACACAATCCCATCTCATCTCATCTCATCGATCCATCGACTTACTTGGCTGGTGCCCATCCATCCATCCATCCATCTGGCTCAAAACACCGCACCCCCAGCCCGCCCAACCGACCCGCCCGCCTTCTGGCTTGCTGCGTCTGTCTCGTCGCCTTGCTTTGTTTTTGTAGTGTCTCTCACTCAGTGACACTTACTGGCTCTTGCCTCAGTCACCTGCTGGGTCGGTCGGTCGGTCGGTCAGTCGCTCGGTGTCCGTCCCTCGCTGTCTTGCTTTCTTTCAAGTACACACACATCAACGGTGTGTCGTGTTTGTGTGTTGTCTTGCTGGCTGCATCATGTGCCTGTCTGATGATGGATGCTGTCGTCTCGTCGTCTTGTTGTCTTATCTTTTGGTTGGTTGGTAGACTGATTGGATCGATGGATGGCTGTCTGTCTGTCTGTCTGTCTTTGGTCACGAGCGCCGCTCCGCAGTTTTTGTGAACCTGTTGATTGACCTATCAGCCAGCCAGCCAGTCGGGCAGACGAGGCGAGCACCGCCTGCCTGCCTGCCTGCCTGTTTGTCTGCCTGAGGTCTGTCTGTCTGCTTGTTGTTTGTTTATTGCACGGTTTTCGTCTTATAGTCTTTTTGAACGCATTTGACTCACTGCCTTCCTGCTGATGTCATTCATTCATGTGTGTCGGTCATGTTTGTTTTCTGTTTGTTTCAGTCAGTCGGTGCGGTCCTGTGCGCTGCGCTGCGCTGCGCTGCGCTGCGCGTGTGTGTGCATGTGTGGTTTCCATGCTTTCTTTTGATCGGTCGGTCGGTCGGTCGAGGTCTTTTGCCTTCTTTCCACCATCCATCCATCCATCCATCGCTCACCTGACCTCACCTTGTCGGTCACCCCTCTGTGCACTCAAGTGCGTGCGTCATGGCGTGGGTGGGTGGGGGAATGGGAGGGGGGGGGTCCGTTAGTTAACTGCAGAGAGGGACAGAGACATATGTATCTTGGTTTGTGTGTTTTGTGTGTACACGGTTTTTCTTTCCGCCACGCACCGCGCACAGAAGACACATGTTGATTATTGATTCATGCTCGCACGACATGCCATGCATATGCCACGCACGACATGCAGTGCATACCCACTCACCCGTACACACACACACACACACGCATGGCCACCCAAGAATGCAATGCGCTTGCGGTCTGTGTTGTTTTCTGTTTTTTGCTGTTCGGCCTGCCTATGAATCACTTACTTTCTGCTGGTAAATAAATAAGGCTTACGTGCCGTGTCTGCCACACAGCCATCCATCCCTCTGTTCACTTGCCATCCATCGCACAGCACCGCCACACACAGACAGCTTTTGCCCACTCGGTCGGTCAGGTCGGTCGGTCGGTCTCTGTGCTTTTTCATTGTGCTGGCTGGGCCTGCTGCCGTTCGTTCACTTGCTGTCTGTAGCATGTATGGTTTCTGCGACCCACTGCCTCTCCGCCCACCCTCTCGCTCTCTCTGGGCCAACGCGGACATCCACATACATACGCACACAGATGTATCCCTCACAAAGGTGAGGGCAATTCTACCTACGTGCACACACACACACAGCGATGTAGCCGACACATACAGGGCGGGCAGATAGCACACGGGCACATGATGCGGGCCGGGCGGCTAAGCACACAGGCAGGGAGGGAGGGAGGGAGGGAGAAAGACAGGCAGGCAGCTAGGTGTGTGTGTGTACTCTCATCAGTCGCTTGCTCTGCTCGGTTTTTAGGCCTTCCATCCATACCATACGCAGCTGGAGAATTATGCACCCACCATGCCACAGGTCATGACCCTACATGCATTAATTACATTTCATTACACACCACTCAGTACCTACCTACACAGGAAGGAAGTACCTAGACACACACACACATGCGACAGAGATGCGGTCGGTCGGTCGGCGAGGAATTTATGAAATTGGCAGACAGCACGCAGAGGGAGGGAGGGAGGGAAGGGCCGGTGTATCTATCGGTCTCTATTTAGCTGAGGGAGGCGGGCATCCTGTGGTGTCTGTCACTTGTCTACTTGTCTGGTGGGGGATGACGGGCGGACCGGGCTTCTCGCGTCGGTCTTCGCTTGCTTGGCCATCCATTCATTCATAGCGGGACGGGCTGCTGGCGACTGTCCTTTCCTTGCGTGGCATGCAATGCGTTGACTGAATGCACCGACTGACCCGTCTGTCCACAGACGGGGAGAAAGAGAGATGCGGGACGTGCTTGGGGTGGGGTGGGGTGGGGTGGGAGGGGCATATTGGCTTCATGTCCGATATATGTGCATGTTTGGGTCCATGGCGTGGGGTGGGTGTGCGGATGGACAGGACACGACACACTTGCCTACTTGCTTGGCTTGCACCTACCTACGCAATGCAGTAGATAGCTGGTCGGGTCGGGTCGGTCTTTTCATGGATACATTTCATTCTTGACTCATTCAACGATCCCCGCCATTACATACATTAATCCCTTCGTTCATTCGTCTGCGTCCATCGTGTCGTGTGTGTGAGCTGTGCGTACGGGGGGTGACGGGCGAGGGCTGGCTCGTCTCTCTGTCTACTTTAGTCAGTCGCTTCCCTCTTGGTGGACTGGATGGGAGGGGAGGGAGGGGAGGGATGGTCAATAACTCCAAGCAACGCTTTACCGTCATCTCGACTCGCTCAGCTCTCAGCTCACTCGGCTGTGGTGTGTCAGTCAGTCAGACGGCCAGCCGGCCGGCCGGCAGCCAGAGAGAGAGAGAGCGCGAGATGCAATTGATCCTATGTACCTTCAGTATATATATACCCAATGTATCGATCCTTCTCGCGCGAAGCATGCATGCCTCGCTCGCATCAGAATGGAGGCGAGCAGGACAGGGCAGGGCAGGTGTGGCCTGGCCTGGCGGGGGATGGATATCGATTCGAGGTTGTTATGAAGAAAGAAGAAAGGCGATGGATGAAGTGTCGGGTTTTGGTTGGTTGGTTCTTTGGTTGGTTGGTTGGTCCATACGGTCTTTGGTTCACTCACTCACGGAGAGAGGCAGGGGTGTGTGTGTATGGTAGGTGTGTGTTTACGGAACTCTTTATCCATTTTCCCGATACATGCCATCCATCCATCCATCCACGCCACACTCAAACATGCGTACCTGCATTCAGCCCATTATCCACGCAATCCCTGACGACTGACTCGTGACGCGTGTTGTGTACTGTCTGTCTGTCTGTCTGTGTGTCGGGTCGATGGCTGGCCGACAAGGCGAGTCGCCCACCCCTCCGTCCGTCCATCCATCCATCCCGCCCCGCCTATCTGTCTGCCTATTTCCAGTCAGGTGCGTGTAGTGGCGGGGTCCCGGTATAGCTAGCTAGTAATAGCCCATAAGACCTCGTCCTAACCCTTTCGTGTGTGTGTGTGTTGTACGTGTCTGTATTGCACTGCATGTGCATGTGCATGTCTGTGTGTGCGCTCTATAGATTGTGTACTTACATACATGTGTGTCTCTCGCTCTCTCTACACTACATATATATGTAGGTAGGTAGCTATTTATCCCTTCCTCTCTTTCTCTATATGGCTCCTGTAAGCAGCCTGGCTGCGAATCAACTGCCTTTGTAAGCCGCCTGGCTGCCTGCCCGTCTGCCTGCCCGGGTGAAGGACAGGACCTATTCATTTCATTTCGTATTTGTATACCCCATCTATATAATACGTACGTACGTACTTGATAGGTGCGTGTGCGTGTGTGTGCGTGTGGGCCGGGGGCGAGAGAGAGGTATTAAGCACGTGTATGGCGTGTGGTTCTGATGTCTGTTTGGTGGCCAGACACTTAAGGAAGGGAACAGACAGACAGTGCGGACTGATTGCAGAAAGGTCGATGGAATGAATGCTGACAGGCAGGCGGGCAGGGAGGCAGGGAGGCAGGTGTGCTGTGACCGTGCATATGTGCGTACGGGTACGGGCATACACACACATACATCATGCGAGTGTCTGACCATCTCACCTCACCTCACCTCATTTCATCTAGTCTGTCTATCTGTGTGTGTTGTATGTTCTCAATCAAGCCCCCCCACGACACATTCTCTTGAGTGGGAGGCCTTGACATAATTAACGACATACGTTGTCTGCAGCCCAGCCCCCTGTCCGTCTGTCTCTCTTGCTGCCTGACGGTTAGTTGGGTGATTCCTATGCATGTGGGTGGCTGACTGGCTGTGTGTGTGGATGTGTATGTGTATGTGTGTGTGTGTGTTTGAGGGTTGGTCGATCCATCCGTGCGTGTGCGTGCGTGCATCCTTCCTTCCTTCATCTGTGTCAGTCTGTTAGCCTGGCTGGGCTGGCTGCCTAAGTACTTGTGTGCATCTCATCTATCTATCTATCTATCTGCCTGACTGTGTGTGTGTGTCTATATGCGAATGCACCCATCCCTTCCATCAGCCCCACCCGTGTCCATCTTTCTATTTCTCTATACGGACGGACAGAGAGACGGAAACAGTGAGAGAGAGAGAGAGAGAGACGTCAGTGCGTGAGTGAGTGAGTCACTCAGGGATGTGCCGATCCGTTTCGACCCGATCGGACGCTAAGAGTGGCTCAAGCACTGACAGAGAGACGATTCCCACAACTCTTTAAATCTTTTTCGACCCACTCGCTTATCGAGAATCAACGGAGCGCACGACAGAGAGGGAGAGACGAGGGGCGGGGCGCATGTGTGTGTGTGAAGGGTTTTGTCTGTTGGTGCGGGACGCTAGTATCACTCACTGCGCAGATTGGTCGCTTCATTGACTGATTGACTGATTGCGAAGGGCTCACACGTGTGTGAGGAAATGGAATGGGCCAGGGAAGGAAGAAGGAAACAGGGGGAGGGACGCTGGTTGACAATCGTATGTATGTGGGAACGAATGGCACTAGTCAGTCAACGGAAAGAACAAAGGCAAGTTCGCGCACACACGAATGAAAGCCTTCATGCAGCACACCTTCCCGGAACCAGTACACACACCACACCAGATTGTCACCATACCGCCATACGGTAACATATGTAGACATAGAGAGACGTGGGAAGCCAGGCGCGGCCACCCACCCAGCATGCATCTAACTACACCTGCGAGTGAAGATGAGCTTTCTAATGAAAGACCACTTTGAAAAAAACTGCAGACAGCGCAACGCTACACCTGCCTCTCGGCGTGCAATCAATCAATCAGACCAGGTAGGTACGATAAACCTCTCCTTCGATGAACCTCTCCTTCAGCAAATCCCACACGAACGCACTCACGTACACACTCCCACCTACTCACTCTACTCGGCCGTGTATGAGCTGGCGTCGCTGGTGACAGGCACCACCCGCAGCTCGTCCCTCTTGGTGCTCAGGGGCGCGAAGGGCGGACACAGCCACAATCGCTGGTACCACCGCATACCCGTCCCCTTCCCACCACCAGCAGCAACGGCGGCGTGGCGTGTGGCCTTGGTGGCACCGTCTTCGCTCGTGTCGCTGTCGGCTGTGGCCATGGCGACGGCGTCGCGCACCTGCGACAGCCGCTTGGTGCCGCCCAGACGCTTGACCAGCCGCTCCAGCTCCTCAATCTCGCGGGCCTGCCTCGCTATCGTCTTCTCTGCCTTGGCCTGCACACACACACACACGCATTCATGGGGGTGCATTATGCTCATGGGCTTGCAGGCGTATAAAGCGGATGCTCGCTTTCTCTCTCTCTCTCTCACTCACCAGGAGGGCCTTGAGTTCCTCCACTGTGTACTCCTGATTGACGCGTGCGTCGTTCTTGATGGCCCTGGCCCGCTGGCCAAACCGCAGTGTGCTGAGGGTCTCAGCTTCGTTGTAGGTGGAGGGGCTGGCGGTGATGATGAGGGTCGTCTTGGCGTTGCCGCCCAATGAGTCCTGCAGCACTCGAGTGAGCTTGCTGTCGCGGTAGGGCACGTGCCGGGAAGAGGCGTCCGTCAGGGCGTTGATCACGTTGCCTGGTTGGCTAATGCACCAAAGGCAGAGAATGAGGCAGAGGTGGTGATGGTGGTGGCGCATACAGGGCGTACCAAGTGTGAGAAGGGAGAGGTTGATCTTCTTTGCCTCGTCGAGGGTGGTTCCCTCTGCGCCGCTCTTCTGGACCCTCTCGCTGCCGGCCAGATCGACCAAATACAGCTTGCCAACCTGACACACACCCAACCCACACAAACGAACAAACGCACATATGCATACAGGACGGTTCGGTTGCTGCCCCCGCCGTGCTGCCCTTCCCGTCTTGGGTGCTGTGCTGTGCTTACCGACGATTTGAACTCTCTGATGTCCCTCTTGTGGACAGTGAGGCAGAAGAGCATATGACTGCGCGACGAATGCGCGTTCATGTTGGTGACTGCGACAGAGCGGTTCTCTCTCCCGCGCACCATGAGCGCCCACACCTCTTCCCCCGTGGCCACGGCATGCTCCGACAGCCCCTTGAGGACAATGCCTTTGCCCTTGCCTTCTTCGGAAATGCGGATGTCGGGTATGCCGCTGGTGGCGGCGGTGAGCAGGTCGCGCACTTTCTCCATATAGATTTCGAAGATCGACACCTAGAGAGAGAGGGAGGGGGGGCCACTTCTGGTTCAGGATGTCTGTGTGTGCGCTCATCGTTTGGTCATGATGTCGTTTGATGTACCTTGAGTGTGTACTGGATGTGTTTGTCAGCAGCACCGACTACGTCGAAGACGTGCTGCACCATACGCGGGATGATCCCCCGCAGCTCAGTGTCGTCAGCCACGCCTTCCATCGTGTGTGTCTTGCCTGCAATGCATTGAATGCATTCATGCAGGGCAACACACACAATAGCGCAGTGCAGTGGCCTCACCCATACGACCATCGTACCTGATGATGTCTGCCCATACGCGAACACAGTGCCATTGAAGCCCTCAAGCACCGAGTCGACGACTGGCTTGGCCGCCACCTCGAAGAGCTCCTGTTGCGTCGAGTTCTCGCTGAACGCTCTGTCGAATATGAATGTGCGGTCGTCCGCTGACGCCCTTTCATTGGCTGCGACTACTGAGACGGTCTGAGGCGGTGCCACTGACACACAGCAGCGGCCTCCGCTCTTGAGTTCCTTCTCGTTCATCGGCCGGATGCGGCAGATGACGCGGACGTTGCGGTCCGACATGTTTGCACGGCCTTTTTGCACTGTTGCGAGCTAGAGCTCGCGAACGTGGGGGCCGTCTCACCTTTCCCTCCCTCCCTTTCCCGCCGACGCGCCACCGTCGACCTAAAGGGATCACACGACAACCCTTCACATGTTCCTGGCGCACACCAACGAAAGATGAGGACTGCATTCATACTCGTGGCGGCCGTCCTTGTCTTCCTCGCGGCGGGCGCATTCCCTGATGACACGGTACGAATGGCGAATTGGCGAATGAAGGAAAAGAGCCATTGAGACGCATTGAGATCTCAATGGTTTGCGTGAGTTGATGCAGGTAGTGGCGGTCCAGGATGTGTCCAACTCGGAGGTCCTTGCGCACAAACACAGGAAGCTGCCGGACGAGGGCGCACTTGCTGAGCTGCGTGCATGCCAAACGGACCGACAATGCGGCAAGGGACGCACATGCCTCAACGGCAAATGCACGGGTGAGATCTGATTGATGCGTGGGCCGTGTGGCCTGGCGAGGGGCACACCGGAGTACGGCGCCCGTGTGTGTGTGTCAGGTTTTGCTGGGTCGGGTCATTCCACGTACAAATGTGGGACAGGCCCCGGAGGCGTTGTGCGTGGCATCCCGGGGCACTTTGACAAGAACCCTGCGGAAAGCTACCGTCTCGAGGTGCGCGCTGACGACCAGCCCTGCGGCGCGAGCGAGAGGGCGGCCGTGGCCACGGCGGCATGCCTGCCCAGGGATGAGAAGAGCTGTGACGTGACGATAGAGAGATCGGATCTGCTGGGCTCTTACAACCTGTGCGGGTGCCCAAATGTGGACATAGGAGGTATGTCTCGACGTGAATGCTACATATGCATGTGTCTGTGTCTGTGTCTGTGCAGGTGATGGGATCCCCTGCAATCAGGCCATAGACTTTCTGGCCCCTGTGGGATCTCTGAAGGCCCACGGCTTCGCCCCCACCAGCCTGTCGGCGCCGCCGCAGCACGTGTGCAAGGCGTATGAGATGTGCTTTCTGTGGGGCATCAAAGGCATGGGCATCAACCCAGACTATAAAGTCACGCTCATCATCCATCCTGACCCGATGAGGGGCCCACAGCCTCGATGCGGCGACTCAGACACTCCAGGGTGGGCACGGGTGCGGTGCGCACCAAGGAAAGGAGGACATGGCGCAACACTCATCCATCCATTTGCCTTCCGCAGGTTGCTCATCATTCCGTCCACAGACTCTGTGGAAATGGCAATGCCGACGCCCTCCCCTCCCCCCAAGCGACAGGAGGGATTCCTCATCGGCCCAGAGCTCAACCGCGCCAATCAGAGCACCGCTGCCCTCTCCAGCAGCCCCCAACCGTCAGCATCTTCCCCACATGTCCTCTCGTTCCCATGTCTCGCATCCGCTTCATCCGATGAGATCAATTGTGGTGTCAATCTGGGCGTCATGGGCGGCGACGCCATCGACGCCACAATTTGTGGATGCGCCGGCGTCAACAACTGTGACGAGGCCAAGGATTTCACTACCAATCTCGGCAGGCTGACCGTCAAAGCTGCCTCGACAGTCCCGCTGCACGCCGACGCCGTGCATCCCCTCGTGAGCAGCGCCGGTGTGGTGTCGCCCCGTCGGTTGCAGACAACGGGCGGTGGGGAGTGCACGGTAGACGGGGAGTGCTTCGAGGGCTATGGCGTGTGCCGAGACGGGCAGTGCACTGGGTTTGAGCCCGGGATCGACCGCACCAAGGTGTGCGTCGACGGCTACTTTTGTCAGATGGACGTGACTGACCTGCCGGGCGCCGGGGTGGACGACACTTTCAAGCTGGCGACCGTCGACTTCCTATCGGACTGTGGCAGCGAGATACTCACAGCCTCCGGTGCGCACATGCATACACAAAACATACGCACACACAAAGATGCGGAGAGGGGAAGCGAACCAATGAATGGATGGATGACCGGCACGTCAATCACGCCGGGCGGCCTTCTCTGTGTGTGCGTGCTCTGTTTGCAGAGTCGATTTTCACGAAGAATACGTTTACGTGCGATGCGGATGAGCCCGACGGCTGCCAGGTCAACCTGGGTGTCCCTTTCCGGCGCAACACCACCATCCGAGGCCAAGATGGCGTCCGTCTGTGCGGGTGCCCCGGCATCGCACGGGGGGACTCCAACAGGAAATGCGACGGGCCTGAGGACTTCACTGTGCCACTCGGTAGGTACTCGTACAAACAGGCCAGGCGCGGGCAAACAGAATACAGACTGCGGCTATCAATATGACCCATTTGGCTGGGACTCATTCGCCTTCCGCGTGTGTGTGTGAGTTGATTATCTATCAGGTATCGTGGTTACGCAAGAGTGCACCACGAACAAGCATTGCACCGACAACGTGCTGGCCTACTGCCTGTATGACCCCCAGACGGGCCTGAACCCCTACTGCGGGGGCTTCGTCGAGACGGCCGTCGAGGCCGGCGCTGAGACATACTTCTGCCTCATACAAGACGCCTGCAGCCTGCCCGCACTCGCATCTAGCGTGAGTCAGTACATGGATGGATGAGTGGACATCTGACACTCCACATGGCACATGCGTGTGTTGTGTTGTTTTGTATGTTGGGTGACTGATTGATTCACTCAGGCAATAGGAGAGGCGTTCAAGGTGCTGCCATTGGCCATAGAGCAGCAGTGCGGTGCCGAAGTGGCTCTCGACCCCGACGCAATCGACGACGAGGCACTGCCGTGCGCCTTCGACGTCGACACTGACGAAAACTGCAAAATCAACATCGGCACCGACGCGATCCCCGGAGGTACGTGGGTGACCAAACACGTCTGATTGGCTCGTTCGTTTCAGTCTATGCTCGTGTGTGTTGGGTGTGTCTCTTTGGGGTGGTGCTGCGTCGTGCTTCTGCCAACCATTCGGGCGTGCAGCGACCAACCGGCTGTGTGGGTGCGCTGGTCAGGACAACGGTGGCGACGGGATCCCCTGCAACCAGCCTGAGGACTTCGATGCTGACCTGGGCATTCTCTCAGTCGGTAAGCAGACAAAGCAGGGAAGCACTGTACCATCCATCCTTCGTCCCCGTCTTATGATATCTTCCATTCGTCCCTCCCGGTCTCTTTGTTTGTCTGTGTGTGCATGAGTGCAGCTGAGTGCATCATGTCGAATGAGTGTGAGGAGAACGAGTTCTGTATCGAAGGCACATGCCAAGTATGTGCCTGAACACACGTACACGTGTACACACCCGAATTGATTCTGTATGTCTCTGCTGCGGCCGACAGGCAGACAGCTCACCTCCCTTCGTGGAGGAGTACAAGCCCGCCAAAGGCTCGAATGCGGTGCCTCCCGTCAAGGAGATCAAGTTCTTCTTCAGCGAGTCGGTCACGAAGGCCAAGGCGGATGCCAGGATCATCCTGATCAACACCGCAGTCGAAGGCGCACAATGGGAAGTCAGGATGAGTAAGCCAAGAGACAGCATCAATCCAGCCAACCAACATCCTTGCTTCATAGGTGTGTGCGTGTCTGCGCGCCTGAAATATGTGTGATTCACTTAGGTAGCACCAGCGTGACGGTATCTGGCCTGGAACTGACGTTCGTCCCGGAGCCGAATGCCGCGTCTTTGCCCGAGGGCGACTACTTAGTGGGCTTTGACGCCGGCATCGTGGCCGACTTGCAGGGTAGGTAAATGCCCACCAAAGGAGAGAGGAGGCGAGACGATGAGTGTGTGGGTTGTCACGCATTGATCTGCAGGCAATTGGAATCAGGGCAAAGTGGATTACGACTTCTCAATCCGCAAAGACGGTGGATGTCCATACATATACATCACCGGTCGGTTGCACTGCATACGCACAGACACAACCGATACACACCTCATTCCCCGTTTGGCAGGCTTTTACCACCTTAGGGGGAACCCTAATGGGCTGTACAGGCCCATCGAGCCCGAGAGGGGCCACCCCGTCTGGAAGGGCGGAGATATTGCCGAATTCTTCCTCTACTGGACACCGGAACGAGGAGGTGGGTGGGTACACGACGGGTGTGGCCGCCCGTGTCTCGTCCGCGGGACTGGATGTACTGCCACAAATCGATGTGTATACCTATATACATATATGTTGTGCATGCAGAAACTGCGGCGGCGTGGATCATTGACAACGATTTGGACCCCGACCAGGTATTAGCGGGCACCAGCCCTGAGCTGATGGCCTCTGCAGCCAACCCCGACCTCCCGATGTCGGGCCTGTGGTACAAGTTCGTCGACAAATGGGAGGACCAGCCCGATGTCCACGTGCTGTGCAGCAAGGCGCCAGACAGGACCGGCCCGGTCCTCATCGGCATGTCACCTGAAATAGCGTCTTACGACGTCCCCATCGACTCCGAGGTGGTCCTGACGTTCAATGAACCAGTTACTTACGGACACTCACGCCCAGACCAGCCTGCCGAAATTGTATTCGCAGGTCGGTCAGTGAAGGAAGAGACAAACAGGGACAGCTCGGCGTGAATGCATGTATATGTTCATGACTCAGGAGACCTCTGGGGTGGGAAGCAGACGATTGTCCCGGATTCCGATGAGGGCATGCGCGGCAAGTGGATCGTCTCGGACCAGACGGCGAAGATCGTGTTGAAGCCAGGGGAGCCCTTCACGTACGGCGAGGTCTACTATATCGATGTCAGTCTAGGCGCCATTACCGACCTTGCCTACAACCCCTGGGTCCAGAAGGAGACACTCGTCTTCCAGGCATACGGAGGTACGCACGTCTCCAGCATTTCGCGCCTCTCGCTGTCTATCCCTCAGTCACATAAATGTGCGTGCGTGTCTGCGCAGTTCCCTGTCTTGAGTACGGCAATCTCGGTCCCCAGTACGTCATATCAGGCAGGGAATACGGCGAATGGCCGGCCGTCAAGCACCTGACGGAGCGGGAGGTCGCGTGTGCACCCAACTTCAGTGTGGACGGCCCCAACCAGACGGAGATCGTCGTGTGCGACAACGAAAACTTTACACCCAAAACCATCGAATGCAAAGGTGGAAGAGACGGGTGATTGACCGATCGACTTTCCATCCATGTGTCATCTCCCTGGCCGCCACGTGTCCTTGTTACTCTATCCCAGCCGACTGCGGTCCGTTTCAGCAGCTGGGCCCTCAATTTGCGCTCGAGGGCACAGGTGTGGAGCACGGAGCCGTCGTCAATGTGACGTGCGCGGAGGGCTTTGGCGTGTCAGCCGGCGCTGACTTTGAAGAAGTCGAATGCAACGACGGTAGGTAACGAACGCTGCGCATACAAGCGGACCAACACAGGGACAACAGATTCGGCCTGCCTCTTTCCTGTGTGTCTGGTGTTGCAGGGAAGTGGGGCGGCTTTGACCTCCGATGCGGTCCCTCGTGCGGCCCCTTCCCCTCCCTGGGCATCGCCTACTCGATCGAAGGCGACGGCACTACAGAGGGAACCCAGCGGGTTCTCAGGTGTAGGGAAGACTCTGTCTTAACCGCCGGCGCTCAGCCGCAGGCCTCTCAATGCAGGGGAAGCCCGCTCAGGTGGACTGAGTACAATATCGAGTGCAAGGGTGAGACAAGAGCATTCCCATTGTTTTTTGTCATCTGTCTGCTTGTATGTTGGTCATGGTCACTCATGCCAGGTCCGTGCGGTGAGTTTCCCTCTCTGGGCTCCAAGATCTCTGCCCGGGGGCTCGGGCGCAAGCACGGGACTGTCTACACAGTCGACTGTGCCAGAGGTTACGCCTCTCGCAATTACGACAGCACCACGGCGATCTGCACCGATGGCATCTGGACCACGTCTGACGGCCTGACCCAGGCTCAGGTGCTCCAACAGCAGCTCAATTGCGAACGTAGGCAAGCACGGCAGGAGGGAGGAAGGTCGACCATATGGGTCCATCGTCTGTCTGTATGTCTGTCTCCTGTCAGCGTCATGCGGCGACTACAATCCTGGCGGCAATGGGTATGATATCCGGGGTTCTCAGAAGTGGACGGGTGACAGCATCACCGTCAGCTGCCTCCCCAACGCCACCAGGGAGGCTGGCACCGACGGGGAGATTGTCACATGCAGGGAGTCGGGCGCGTGGACACTCAAGCAACTCATCTGCAGGGGTGAGTGAGCCCTTGCTTTCGTGTGTGAGTGCTACTGCCACACACATCGACAGACAGACAGACAGACACACAGACACACAGACAGCCAGACAGGCAGACAGAGACAATCACTCTTCCTCACTCACTCTTCCTTCCTCACTCACTCTTCCGTGCCTGCAGCGCCCTGCAACGTGCCAACGGATCAGTTCGGCCGGTCTTACGATTACCGATCATACCTAACCAGCTTCGGCCAGGGCGCCATCGCCTCGATACAGTGCGCGCCGGGAGCAGCGGCATACACCGGGGTGGAGCCGTCAGCTGTCGTGTGCAACGATGGCGTGTGGCTGCAGGGCGAGACCGTGCCTCTCGGTTGCTTCAGTGAGCCAGCGGCAGCACATCCATCCATCATGTACACGTGAATGTTGTGTTGTGTCTGGTGTGGTGGTTGCTGTCAGGGCGCTGCAGCGAGTTTATGGCGCCGCTACAGTATGATGTGCTGGGCTCCGGTACGACCCACCTGAGCACCAGGGAGGTGCGGTGTGCCGATGGATATGACCCCATGGGTGAGTGGAGTGAGTCAGTGAATGAACAAGATGGATGTGTGCATGTTTGCATGTGACGTGCGCGACGTTCAGACAAGGTGAAGCAGCTGATCCAGTGCTACGACGGAGAATGGGACGGCCAAGCAAACCTCACTTGCAGAGGTGGGCAGCGGGACGCAGTGACCCGAAGACACAACACGCAAACCCATCCATCGCTCTCTCTTTTTCCTGCATGCAGCTCGGTGCAATGAAGACCAGCTGCTGCAGTACAAGGGTGCCTACATCATCTCCCCGCCAGGCAGCAGCGACTTCCGGTACATGGCAGAGCGGACACTCAAGTGCAAGCCGACAGCCCTGCAGATATGCGGCCCCGGCGAGTCAACAATCACATGCACAAACGGACGATTCGACAAACCCGCCACCATATGCACCTGTATGCTGGCGGGCGAGGAGCTACACAGATAGACGAATGGATGAATGCGATCGTGGATCTTCACTCTGTCTATGTATTTGCTTGTCGGTCAGTCCCGAGCTGCACCGACGGGCTTCAGAATGGCGACGAGGAGGGTGTTGACTGTGGCGGGTCGTGTGAGGCGTCCTGCCCGACCTGGTAAGGGGAGACACACCTAACGGATAGATAGATGCATCGCGGCTTGCACACTCATGTCGTCTTCTCCAGCTCTGATGGGGTGCAGAACGGCGGTGAGGATGGCGTGGATTGTGGCATCGTGTGTCGCGTAATGTGCGAACCGACATGCACTGACGGCATCAGAAACGGTTACAGTCGCGGTCAACTAGAGCATGCCTCATCATGTGTCTCTGTGTCTTTTCGTCTCGTGGCAGGCGGCGAGACCAGCGTCGACTGCGGCGGCCCATGTCCGGCTTCCTCATGCCCCTCATGCACAGACGGCATCAAGAATGGCGACGAGCAGGACATCGACTGCGGAGGCTCCTGCCCTGCCTGCCAAAGCTGCATCGGCCTGCCGATTCTCTCTGCGGCATATGAGGTCATATCCGACACAACGACTGTGCCACACGGGCGGAAAATCGACGTCAAGTGCAGAGAGGGCGCCTACCAGGTGACTGAGAACGCCAAGAGCGCGGTCGAGCTGTGCCAGACGGCCCCAATCGAGTGTCGAAATGGGATTTATGACTCATCGGGGCTGCGACTCACGTGCATACGTATGAAAGATGGCAGTGGCGGGCACGTGCACGTATCTCTCTCTCTCTCTCTCTCTCTCGTGTGTGTGTGTGTGTGCGTGTGTGTGTGTGCGCAGTTCCGACGTGCACCGACGGGTATGCTGATGGGGATGAGGTCGGTGTGGACTGTGGCGGCAGCTGCCCAAATGCATGTATCTCATGCAACGATGGAATCCAAAACGGAGTGGAACAAGTAGAGAGAAGCGTTCCTCATCGCACAAGATACACGACACTTCTGTCTTAATGTGCGTGTCTCTTGGTTTAGGGCATCGACTGCGGTGGTCCTGAGTGCCGGCCGTGTCGGATCTGCAGTGAGGGAGACTTCAAGCTCATTGACCGAGACCTTTACCAAGTGAGAGCACGCGCCTGAAGACCCACCCCACTCTCTGACCTCCTGCCTCTGTCCTGCTCTGTTAGATTAACGTCACATTCGGCAGCGTGAATGGCTACAGTCACGGCGACGTGCGCATGGTTGACTGCCTCTCCAACGCACGGCGGGCCTATGGCCCTCCCTTCGACCAGCCTGCTCAGGTCACCTGCCTTGACGGCCAGTTTGAACCACCCGTCCGCTCTGTCATCCGCTGCGAGAGGGACCCCCTCGCCCCACCCGAAGGCGGCCCGTCGTTTGCAGCTCCCGCAGTGGTCAAGCCGCCTGCCGAGTGCACGAACCGTGTGGATGCGGAGGGCTGCTGCGCCTTCTTGCCTGAGTTCTTCAATGTGTTGCTGGGCGAGTGTGGAACGTGGCTTTACGGCGAGACCCAGGAGGATATAAGGACTTTCTGTGAGGGCTCGGGGGGCACTCCCTGTGTGAGGCAGATGGAGGCCGTGGTGGAGTCCTTCGCCGGGTCAAGTGGGCCTGGATGCGAGGACGTCACGATTGCACGGTCAGGAGCAAAGGAGGCTTGTGTGGTGGGCACCCGCGCTGATGCGTCTTGTCTCGTTAACATCAGGTCCCTCATAGATGACTGGTGCGCTAGGCCCAGCGGCCAGTACTGCTTCGCCCAGGCAGGCAGCGACAAGCGCAACTTCGCCATCGACCGATTTGCCCTCAAGCAGTCGCAGCAGCTGGACGTCGACTGCCAGCCAAATTCTTGCTTCAGGTCCAACCTCGACTACTACGAAAGCCTCCACCGGCTGGCCATGCGACAGCCGGGCGGCCGGCCAGACACACGAATGCTGTCCATCGACGCACCGCTGGAGGGCGCCGACTTCCGGGGTGATCTGCATACGCAGGGAGGCGTGGCGAGACGGGTGGCGAGAGACATGACTGCAGCACGGAGCATCAGTGGTGGCGGCAGGTCTCTGGATGGGTTGGTCGATCGGCTGGTGCACCCCGTGCTGGACTTCGCCGCTGTGGGAGCGGAGACTCGACGGCGGCTGATGGCTAAGGTGGACGACTACCTCGGTGGCTTCACCGCCCAGACAGTCGACATTATGTGCCTCAAGTAAGTACAAATTACGCAATTCGCTCGATGCGTGTCTGTCCTAATACGTATCTCTTTCGCTGCAGAGAGGACCCTGAGACTGGATCTGCTTATTGTGCGTCGGCGGTGCAGCAGATCGCTACGTACAACCCCGTCGTTGCCGCGCCTCGTGAAGGCGGCGTACCGGTGGATCCGTGCAAGGGCCAGTGCATCACAATCGTAGCAAGAACGCTCGGACAGGTACCCAAACAGATCGTGGTGTGTCAGGCAGACATACACGTGATCTGCTGTCGATCCTCAGATTGTGTCTGGCCGCGGCGAGGAGCGCCAGGACCCCTACGACACCGCCATGGGTGCGCTGTTGATATCCTACGGCCGTTTCTTCTGCCAGCAGAACCGCAACCGGCGATACTGCGGCGAGTACATATTCCAATACCGCAGGAGGCGCAACAGCATCGAATACAGCCCGGTGGCGAGCAGCAGCTACCCAAACTGCGAATGTCCCGTTGGATACATCGGAGGTGAGTCGTGACGGGCGACGTGTCTTTAGGTCAATGGCACTTCATCTTTCAACCTTTTTGTCTGCTTGTCTGTCTATCTGTCTGTCTGTCTGTCCGTCCGTTTGATGTTCGGGCAGACGGCGAGTGCGACGTGTCTTGCTTCAATGAGGCGTGTGGCTGGGACGGAGATGACTGCTTCTTCCGCAGCATGTTCCCAAATGTCGATGACCGGCTAACACACATCAGCAAGCTCGAGACGCTCGCAGCGGTAAGTGCCAACAACAATATGCATGCTGCGACACGAACACGTCGTTTGCGTGTCTCGTTCTTCGTGATGGCTGTTTCCCTCAGTCTCTGGGGAGCAACCCTTCCATTGAGGAACTCTTCACGGAGGGGCCAAGCGTCGGGGCGCACACGGCTCTGTGCTCTCCATTCCACCCCTCCTTCAATTGCAGCCGCACGGAAGCAACCTTCGACTGCAAAAAAGCGATCGACGGTTTGAACACACACGCCCAGCACATGCCGGCCAGTGTGTGTCATGTCTCTGTGTCTGCAGTTGAGCTGGATGACAAGGGCTGCTGTCTCTCCCCTCTCTGGGAGGTGCTACGCGAGGCCCTTCGCATCGATGCCGTCCACCCCCGGCTGACCATGCCAGAGTGGAGGCTCGACCGGTCTCTTGCGTGGGTCGAACAGAAATGTGGCATCTCCCTCGACCGCGCATGCGCACAAGGTCTGCCAAGACAGGTGGTTCGCGCTGGATTTGAGCTCGACAACATCAACTTCGACCGCCTCACGCCCGGCTGGAACTCGACATTGACAGAGCGTGACAGTGGGGCGAGGGAGCTGCAAGCAATTCTGAAGGCGACATTGGCTGACCTGTTGGGTGTGCTGCCATCGGATGTGACGGAGGTCCGCATGTGGCCTGGAAGCGTTCGCCTGGAAGTGGCTGTCGATGTGGGCGGACAAGCCAGGAGGGCCAAAACTGTAAGCAGGAGAGGCAGAAAGGCATTCTCAGTCACTCACATTGAAAACTGCATTCTCCATGCAGCAACTGAAGGCCCTTCATGAAAGTAGCGAACTCAGGAAGGCCATTGAAGCGGCCCTCGCAGACAAGACACCGTTCAGAGCCGCTCTTATCGACGGCCGGGCCCCAATAACGGTCGACTCAGCGACTATCTACACAAGCGCTGTTCAGCGCGAGAGTCCGCGAGCGTCCAGTTTGCAGGCCCCTCCAATGCCTTATGTGGGCACCCTCGGCATGGAGGGGCTCGAGAATTCGCTCATCAAAGAGGACTGCCCCGTAATGGTCCCCCTCGATATCCCTGAATCGGTGAGAGTGAGCACACACAAACACATGCGGTCTGTGTGTTCCCTACGCCTGCATGATGTTGTTAGGCGAGTCTCCCCTACGCCATCAGCGGCCAAGGCACCGCAGATGGATCGACCCGCACAGTGGCCTGCCAGCCGGGCTATGACGCCATCGAAGGCACATCCCCACAAGTCGTCACCTGCAGCAACGGCAAGTGGCTTCCGCCGAGGGGAGAGTACCTCCTCTTCTGCAGGCTGCCGTGCGGTTCCGACCCCTACACCTCCACCAGTTACCAGACTAGCGGCTTTGGCGAGCGGCACGGGAACAGTCGAACTGTCTCTTGCATCGAAGGCTTTGAACGAACTGGTGGGCCTGACCCGGAGACACTGGTGTGCGATAACGGAGTGTGGCCCGCGCCGACGTTGACGTGTCAATTTGGCGGGGGCTGTCTCGCCCTGGAGCCCATCATCGCCCAGTACGGCAACTACTCTGTCTTGGGCAGCGACACGAATTCGCGGACAGTACGTTGTGCGTCGGGATATGCTCCCACCAAGGGATCGATCTCGTCGCAGACATTTGTGTGCACCGACGGGGCCTGGGTGCCGGAGTGTGCTCCTGGACGGACCTCCTGTCCACAGGAAAAGCCGGACATCACATGTGCGGTCCGGAGCGTGCCCGACGCCAAGCCGCCCAAAGCGCAGGAGTTCCCTGTGTGGGCGATCGTTATCATATGTCTCGTCGGCACAGGGTTTCTGGTCTTCCTCATGACCTCGCCCATACTCTACCAGAAGCTCGTAAGGCCCTACTTTGACGAGAAACAGCGACAGAGGGAGGAGAAGGAAGCCCGTAAGAGGCTGGCCAGGGAGGGAGCCATCCCACCATCATCTGACCCTTCTATGTCGGGAGCTTCGCGGTCGCCGACGATGTCAAGTTCGTCCTTCACACAGCCAACATACGGCCCCCAGACGCAGGCCCGGCCGCTGATCGAAGGTGTGAGCCTCCACCAAACAGCCACGTCCCAATACTTGCCGCCAAGTGTGGCAGACGTGTCGCCGGGTGGGTCGGACGTCACGTCGATGGGCGGCTTGACGTCCGTGAGCCGCATGAACTACCCCCAACAGACCCGGCAACCGAGACATGGCTCATCCGACTATGCCAGCGACTACACCGACAGCGCACCGCCAACAGAGATGATACGCGGCTCCTACTCACAGCAGCGCCAGCAGCAGCAGCAACACCAGTACAGCCAGCGGCCGCGAGGGGCGCCGGAGGACCGAGAAGTGCGCGATCCTAATAGGGAGGCGATAGACAGGGAGAGGGGCCGGATAGCCGGTGGCCGTAGGTCATCAGGGGGGCTGCAGCCGGGCGGTCAGGGAAGGAGAGACAGGGACGCCGCTTTTGACGACGCGCCTTCCCCGTCTGTGTGATGGGTGGGTGGTGAACGCAGTAGGAGCGGGTCACAGGCCGTCCGTAGTTGCTCATCTGCTTAAGTCGTCACCCTTGTGCGGTGTGTGCGGGAGTGCAGGCGTTATTAGATGTTTTCGACGAAAGTTGTGTCGTGTGTCACGTAATCTTTGTTGTGTGGCAATGCCATACTTCATGTCTGTTCCTTGCAGTGTGTGCGTGATTGGTGCGTTTGAATCCATCATGGTCAATGAGACTTCACTTTACTGACTGACACGTCGACAGCCATCAAATGTCTCTATATATCCCATACAGAACGCTCCGGCCTCTCTGCTCCCCATCCTCTCTGCTGTGTTTCCCGTGTCGCGAGGCCTGCTGCAACGGAGACAAGCAGTGCGCATCCACACACTGCTTATCGGCGTTGCAACTGGAATTGCAAGCACCAGGAAGCCCAGTACATGGGAAAGCCGACAACAAAGGTGTATGTAGACATGCAAGCCACACAGACAAGCACGGAAACACGAGGGTCCTTGCCTCTACCCCGTCCCTCCCTCCCTCCCTCCCTCGCTCGTCTGTCTGTCTGTCTGTCTGTGTCTGTGTGCGTTGGGGGTAGTTCAGGCATAAGCCCCATCGAGTAAGTGCGTGTGCCCGGGGAAGGACATCGCACCAGCTGAATTCACTCAAGCAGCAGAAAGACACCCCCCAAGGAGGTGCCGTGCCATTGCCCTCGCCACCAAGGAGATCCCCTCCTCTCCACACACCTTCGCGAACGAAAGCGCGTGGGTCTCAGGGGCACTCGGTCTTACGACAGAGTTCCCCAGTGGTCGAGGGGTCCCTGCCGCCGCAGCGGCACTCTCTGCCCCAGTGCACGGGGACTTTCCCCCCAGCCTGTTGACCAAAGAGACCTTGCAGCCTCTTCGCACGGACGCTGAGAATCAACTGACTGACTACCCCGGACAGACAGACAGACAGACAGACACGAGACAGAGAGAAACAGACGGTCAGGCGATGTGAGAGCAAGACAGGAAGGAGGCCTTGCCACATGTGTACTGACTGCCTTCACTTATGATGTAGTGGTCGCTGTCCTCACTCGTGCACGTCTGTAAATCACGTCCAAGACTCCCTTCACACACTCCACCAGATGTGCTGCTGCATCTGTAGGAGCTTGCGAAGGAGGCCAGCAGACGCGACCACCAGACACGCGCGGCCATGATCTCTGCAGATGGACAAAACCCGATGAGCCGGCCCCTCGTACGCGCCTGTGCACCACGATTTACGTACTAGACAGGGCACGATATACACATCGCATCGCATCGCCTCGTTCCCTCCCTCCCTCCCTCCCC